AATAATCATTTGTGTAATGTTTCCCACGAGTTAGTGATTGATGCAAGAGATAAACCACATCTGCCTCGCTCAACCTTCTGTCCCAGAGAGGTGCCTGGCTGGGACCATGGGGTATCTTCCCACCCCAAGCATCCCTGAAATCCAGCAGGGCAGGTCTCGAAATTCAACCTCCTGAAGGGATGATGATGATAACTGTACATTCCTTCCAAGAGATTTGCCCTTTGGGTCTCTCCCAAGGCCAAGTTGCTTCTGGCCTCAACAGATCTCATATCTTTACCTCAGATTCCCCAAATCTGGGGAAGCAGAGTCCACCCCTCCCACTTGCTTTCCCCATCCCTACCCCCGTCTCCCCCGAGGAGCCTCTGACCGGAAGTTGAAAAGATATCATCACAGCTGTGCTTGTGAGCAGAAAGTTGAAGCAAGATAAACGTCAGAGACCCCCAGCTCTGAGTGAGGACACAGGCCAGAGCTAAAATGAGAGGGCCACTGTGTGCTGGGGGCGGGGGAGAGAGGCACCCTGATCCTGCCCACTGTGGTGTGGCCGTGTGAGGTCACATGGGTCACTACCAGGAGAGGGAGCTGTCAATCAGGACAATGCTGCTATACTGACCACTCAGTCACCCAACTCTCCACCTCCAAGGCGAGGCCTACAGGGAGCTCTCCACAAAGACACAGGAGGTGCTGGGCCCCTTGTGCTGAGACAACAGCCCCACTCCAGGGCCCTGGGCAGACTCCTGCGGGCTCCAGGGGCAGGGAGAGCCTGAGTAACGCTGTGCTTCTTGAGGTCAGCTGTCTGCCCTAACCACCCCCACTTCCAGGACACAGGGGGGATGACCTCATGTTTGCTGGAATCCCCGGAGGTGCTCACCCCATGGATGACCTCATTCCAAACCAAACCAGAATATGGGCAGCTTAGGCAACTGTCTATGTGATTTAAAGCAATGACTTCGCAAAGGTGGGTGTACAGCAGAAGGATTAGGGAGCTTTGTAATGAGAGAGGCCCTGGGCCATCGTAGACATGTTGTGTCAAAGTCCCTGGGGTGAGGTCTGGGGATCCGTCTTTGTTGTACTTAAAGTTCCCCAGGTGATTCTGCTGACCAATCAGATGAAGCCTGGGAATCCATAAAACTATCCCTGTTGCTTGTCATAGGGACCTGGAAGTCTATCTAGAGTCACTTCCTTGAGTCTCCAGAGCTCCCATGAAGCACAATGGGCTTCCCTCCTTGTCCACAGGCAGGGGGAGTTCATCAGCTAATGGCTCAGTCAAATTACTGGAGGGGGCACGGCAGGAATCCACTTTATTCAGCAGAACATGTGAGCATCTTAGATGTGCCAGGTCCTTTCCGCCTGGGGGCACGATGATGAACAACACACAAACATCCCTGCCCTCATGGCCCTTTTCTATGGAGAAGAAAGAGACAAAACTAAGGTTAAACAAAGAAAATACATGTGGGGGGAGGTGGAGAGAAGCTCTTAGGAGGAAGAGGAAGCTCAGGAGAGGGCAGGGACTGTGAGGGTGTGCGGAGCATGGGGGTCTTTGTGCCCAGGCGTGCAAGTTGGAACAGCACGGCCAGAGAAACTCTCGCCAAGAAGGTGACATTTAAGTGAAAGGCTTTGAACTCAGAAGCAACATCATTTGGCTTATATTGTAACACTATCAGTCTGGTTATTGGGAATAGACTGAGAAAGGCAAGAGAAAAACAAGGAGAGGAGAGAAATCCAAGTGCAAAAAGATGGAGGTGAATTAGTTACCTGTTGCTGCAAACTTGGTGGCTTAAACCATTCAAATTTATCCTCTTACGTGCTGGAAGCCGGAAGTCCACATAGGATTCACCGGGCCAAAGCTAAGTTGTTGGTGGGACTGTATTCCCTCCAGAGGTTCCGGGGAGAACCTGTTTCCTCGTGTTTGTCAGCTTCTAGGACTGCATTTGTTGCTTTTCTTGGCTCCTGGCCCCTTCCTCCATTTTCAGGATCAACAGCGTAGCATCTTCAACTCTTTTCTCTGTTCTGTCTTTACGCCATCTTCTCTCTTCTGTGTTAAATCTCCCTCGGCCTCCCTCTTGTAAGGGCACTTGTTATCGAATTAGGCCCCTCCCCCTAGATTATTCAGGATAAGTTCAAGGTCCTTAGTTTAATCACATCTGCAAAGTTTCTTTTGCCATATGGTTTATGGCCACACATTCCAGGGATAAGGACCTGGATATCTTTGGGGGCCATTGTCTGTCCTGTCAGAGGAAGCTTAGACCAGGCTAGAAGTGATGGAATGGTCAGAAAGGAGGTGATTCTTGGATTTGTTTTGAAATCAGAGTCAGCTGGGTTGTCTTGTAGATCAAATGTGGGATGTGAGAGAAAGAGAGGAATCAAGGAACATGCCAAGGCTTTGGCCTCAGCAATTGTAAGAAGAGCTTCCACTCACTGAAATGAAAGGCTATAGGGAAAACATTTTCGGGGGGTTGCTTGATTGATGTCAGAGGGCTAAGGGGCTCATGGACATATCGGGGCAAGTCTGTCTGTCCCCTGTTTCTGGAAAAGGAAAACACCTCAAGCAGCGAGGTCTCCATCTGCGTGCCACCCACTGAGCCATCTGGCACCGTTGTTGATTTGGTGCTCAGATCATTAGTTCTTGAGTGAAACGCAGCAGGCACACTAATGTCACCCCTAGGGCCATGCACCCCGGAGTCCTGACTGCCACTGTTTTCACGCTCTAAGCTAGAACGCTCTCTTTATATCGCCCCTGTTATTTCATGCTTCTCATATGAAGCACCCGTTAAGTTCTCAGAACCAAACTGAAGGCAGATCCTTCATTACGCGGTCACCACCAGAAATCCTGGAAAATCTGCAGATCCAAGCAGTTGAGGGATCTCCTGTGTACTTCCAGTCTGCTCCCCTCCCCCTTCTTCCCTCTTTTCCTGTCTTCTCTTTCCTATCGCTTTCTCTCCTCTACAAATTTCCCTGGAATTTTAATTCAGTACTGGTTCTCAAGCTTGGTTGCATATTGTGATCACTTGGGGAATTTAAAAAACAAAATAAAACAAAACTGTTGACGCCCAGGTGCCATTCCCAGAGATTGTGACTTAATTGATCTTGGGTGTGAGCTGGGCTTTGGGAGTTAGTAAAGCACCCGGAGCGATTCTAACGTTCAGCCAAGTGTGAGGACCAGTGTGTCAGGCTACCTTCTGGGTAGGGACCCCCGGGCAGCTTTCTAAATGCTATGGCTGGAGGAGCTGGGTCTGTCTCCAACTCCCTGCCCTGCCTCTCCCCGACATTCCTGGTTTATAGGACAAATACTCCGTGCCAGTTTATCGGATCTGAACACTACCAATCAGTGCCGCCTCTTGTGCAATGCTCTAATTTTCCAAATAGCACAATCCCGTGGGGGCCCTGATATTCTGTCCCTACCTTTAACTTCCCTCCGAGGACACCTTCAGCTGACTTTTTATTTCAGCAACACCAGAGCTCCAGCTGCAACTCTCACGCCAGCTGTAAGCAATGGCAGAAGTAGGGTAAAGTGGATGGAAATGCCCAAGGGCACGCACGCACGCACACAAACACGATCAGTGAGTCAGACTTGGAAGTGGAATTCTGCCGGCACAGAAGTCCTCTGTAGAAGCAGCTCCTACAGTGCCCCATAAAGCCTGTTTGTGTCACTACTTTGGAGCATTATGAGGAGAAACCTGTGGCCCTTGCTGCCAGCCCTGGTCTTGCTCAATGAGCTGCCCTGCCTAGAAGCAGCATGTCTCCCTCTCTCCATCTGGGACCCTTATTTGGCATGATCTACAGCGCGATATGCCCAGGCTAGATCCCAGTCTCGAAGCGCCCTCCCTTTCAGCCTCTTTGAAAATGAAAATTGGCACGAGTTTCCAGAAAGCCACTTGGTAATATGTCTCAAGAGCTTGAACTATGTCCAATTCCTATCCTTTCATCTAATTATTTTACTTCTTATCCTAAAGGAATAATCAGAGATGTGGAAGAAGATTTATGTATACAGATCTTCAACAAAGTGTGATGTATAATTGCAAAAAACTAGAAGTCACTGCACACTTTCTATAGTACAAGATTGGTTTAACATATCATGCTACATGATAGTATAGGCCTGACAATAAAATGCACCGATGGCTAAAACTTGACCTTTTCAAAAAATGTTAGTGATGCGAGAAAATGCTCACAATATAATGTTTAGTTAAAGATGCTGGGAAAATGATTTATTTTTCAGTTTAATCCAAATATGGATATATACACTTGTAAGGAGGAAAACACTAGACAGAAATACACTATGGTTATATTAGTGGTTCTCTGGGTGGTGTGGTTCTCATTTTTTTTTTTTCCTGAGTTTCCCAAGCTTGTATTGTATCTGTAACCAGGAAAAATAAAAAGGGTTATTATTATTTTACTGAAAAGGTTTCATTTCCCATTATGGCGGCAAGCTCCTGTCAGAGGCTGATCTCAGCAGTACCCCTGCTATAATCTTCCCCCGTTGCTTGCTCTGCACCCTGCCCCCAGACCCACGTGGCTTTGACGCGGGTGGACAGGGGAGCATTCCCGGCCCTCGCAGTGGCTCCCTGGCGGGCTGGGGCTTTCCTTGCTGGGCACCAGGATCTGTGTCGCCACGAGGCTGTCCACCTGTAACGACTGTGTCATTCACATTATTCTTCAGCATGATGAGCTCACCAGGAGCCTCAGGAATAGGAGAGATCTTGCCCAGACATGCAGAAGCACGTTTATTCGTTCAGTCTGGAGGTATTTATTATGCATCTTCTGTGTGCCAGGCAAAGTTCTCGCTCATCCCGCTGACACCGTTACGGGTTGTTACTTGAAGGAGCTAGCTACCTGATGGGGCTAAGAAGGCAAGGGTAGGACTAAAGCGTGGGGCTCCACCTGGACAAGCGCTCCGCCCTGCTAGGTAGTTGCTGGATAGGGGTTTGGAGTCATGATCTCACAAAAGGCTCATTCTCTCCCTCTCTCTGTCTCTTTCTCTGTGTGTGTGTGTGTGTGTTCTTCAGATGGAGGTGATTGTTGGGGACTTTGGGATCGTGGTGGTGCCCCGGGACGCAGCCGACACAGACCGAATCATGAATCACTCCTCAATACTCCGCAAATACAAAGTGAGTGCTCCATCTCCCTGCTGGTGTAGCTCTGTGATGTGGCCCTTCTCGGAGAAGCCTGGGGGGCCGGCAACCGACTCTCTCTGCTCTGTCCCCAGAACAACATCCTGGTGGTGAAGGATGACATCAACCACCCCATGTCTGTTGTCAGCTCAACCAAGAGCAGGTACGTTTGACTCATCGTATGAGTAGAGGCTTGGAAGCAGCCAGACCAAGGCCAGAGCAAAACTGTGCCGCAGCTGGAGTGCATCATGGGAGCCCTTTCGTACCCGTTGGTGCCTTTCCTCCATGGTCCCCCGGGCTTCTGAGAAGGGCCTCAGGGAAGGGAGTGGCAGAGCCCGGAGGAAATGGAATCTCCAGGGGAGGAATTGTGGGGGCAAGAGGGTGTTTCCTACTCAGGATTCCATTCACTCAGCTAAGCAGAGGCTGGTAAGGGGGTGCTGGGTTAGCCTTTGCCCCTGAAAGGGAGCGGGCAGACCAGTCCTCCTGCCTCGCTTCAGGGAAGGATGACTACCTGAGTGCCGTCTCTTCTCATCCAGGCTGGCCCTGCAGCATGGGGACGGCCACGTCGTGGATTACCTGTCACAGCCGGTCATTGACTACATTCTCAAGAGCCAGCTGTACATCAACGCCTCGGGCTAGCGGCCACACAGCCCTCCGCTCCGCTCTCCCCTTGTCCTCCGCACACTGGCCCCTCGAGTCTCTGTCAGTCCTCTGTTTGCCTCCTGCCTCTCTGTTTCTCCATTTCCTCATCTTGACTGTTCCCCTCCTCGACCCCCCACAGTGTGGGGGCCCGCAGAGAACCACGGCGTCCCTTATTCCCCGGTCATCTTTGGACAGACTTTCCTCTAGTCTCCGGGTTGGGGGTGGGTGAGGGAATAGGGGTGGGAGTTGGGGGGAAGTGCAGTCCTTGGAGATGTGCTGGTGTCCATCTCCCAGCATGCTCTAGAGAGTGGCTCTGGTGCCCATCCTCCCAGCATGCTCTGGGGAGGCGGCTCTGGCTCTCGCCTTCCCAGCATGCCCTTTATCACAAAGGGCTATTTTTTTCTTTTCTGTTTTTTTGTTTGTTTTGTTTTGATGTTGATTGTTGTTGTTCACACCTCATAGAACTTGGATGAAACCAGTGTCCGCAGTTCTTTACGTTTGTAGTCTCGATGCAGTCCCGTGGGATCACGTCCATGGGATGGGGTACTGCGGCCAGCCTCAGGACAGCAAGTGCGCGAGGGCCGCACCCAGGGAAGAAGGCCAAGCCACCTCCACTTTCCCGACACCCTCCACCCACCGACCTACTCCTCACCCCCTTCCCTCCAACAGCAGCAGCAGTAGTCTGGGGTCAAGAGTGAGGCTTTCAAGTTCTGAAACCTGGGAGGCAAATCTGGGAACGGTAAGGTTTTTTAGAAGAATTTGAGTCCATTTCCTTAGTTTCAGAAGACCCCTTTTCCGAGGCTCTGGGCCTAGGCTCCCACAGAGCCAGTCCATCCCCATTTCCTGGTAACATCTGTGCGGTTGCTTCCTTGGGCTGTGACTGGTGGCAGAGTGTAGGTTTCCTGCCAGCCAGGCATTTCCGAGGATCCTTCGGCTCGCCATCTAAGCCGTTGGGGGCCATACTTAGCTACATTCCTGCATTTGAGAGGAATCCCATAGGCAAGGCCAAGTCCTAATAATGCAGTTGTTTCTGAAGTCAAACATGCTGGGGATGCACTCATCCCTAGAGATTTTTGCTAATTGCCATTATTTATTGTCTCTTTGGCTGGGACATGTCAGTGTCATGCTGTGAGTCCAGGATGACGTAGGAGAAAGCAGTTTCCTGCCCTGATCGAAAGTGGTGACCCTCACCCACTCGAGCTGCAGTGTCACAGGCAGCGAGTGCCCTCATCGGGTCAATTCTTTCTCGAGAAGCGGGGCCTGGGCCTGTTTCCGAGGCTGGGTTTCTCTCCTGCTGAGCCCAGCAGCTCCTGTCACAGCCTGAGATCTGCCTGGCAGGGGAGTGGGACATCGAGAGCCACTGCAGTGTCCTCCCTTCTCTCCCTAATTTCCCACCTTCCCCCGCTGCCCCTGGAAACAGTACCGATGGACTCCATTCCCGTTGTCCAGGTCCCGTGCATGTCCTACTTGGAGAGCCAGAAGGGAATTATTCTCTCATGCCCTGGGTCTCATCCAGCCTCTGGCTGGTGGGTTGCCAGTGGTCTGTGAAGAATGGTCCCCGAGCGGCAGGATAATTTTATCAAACTCTAGTACCAGCTATGGCCCAGATCTAAGAGCAGGAACAACGGTCTCCACCACACACTTCACGTCTGCAACACCCTTCAGTAGTCCCCAGGGAGGGACCGGGCTCAGCAGAAGAACACCGAGGAGTAGCACCCAGGAGGGTGTTATGCCGTTTGGATTATGGAAATAATCCCCATAGGAAGGAAGGAAGATTCCATTCTTGGGTCTCGGCGTTTGGCTAAGGATCATGGATTCATAAATGAATAGAACTTTAGAGATTTGTTGACTCAACATTCTCCTTTAAAAGATGAGGGAGCAGAGAGCCCCTGAATTAAATGGCTGGTCCCAAGTCACACAGCAAGTATAGAGCCCAGCAAAAGGATATTGTCTCCCTGACCCGTAGTATCACATCCCATGGCCTCTGCCCTTTCGGTTCCCATGATATTGACCAAGTAATATGTGGTTTCTATTCATCTCAGCCTTTACCTGGCATCTTGTTCTTAAAGTATGTCTGACCCAGGTGCTTCCTACATATGGCTTTGCCTAGGGCAGCTCTGGGGGCAAACACGATGGTGAGGAAGGCCATAGCCAGGCTTCCCTTAGAAATCAAGAAATCTCAACAGCTTGGAGGAAATCCTAGAAAGTGACTCTCTGAATCCAAGAAAGGATTGCTTTGTAGAAGGCTAGGAAAGACCCAGAATGCTCAAGATGACACTAGTGTTGGAGGCAGAAAGACAGAAGAGCCTTTGTCTAGGCAAAGAAACAGGAAAACAGGGAGCTGGGTTCCCTGGGGGAACACAACATCCTCAAGGATACAGAGCTCATGGATAGAGTTTGTTACGAGGGTCCACCTGAGCAGAGCTGAGAAAGAGAAGACATCTGCAGTGTCTTTGGTCCACTCTGTTACTCTGCTGGACTCTGTGGTCAAGCCCCAATTAGTCCATAGCTCATGAGAGAGAACGGGGCTGCTCCATGCACTCAGTGCAGGAGCGGGAAGGCCCCTAGGAAGGGAGAGGAGATGAGCTGAGGAGAAAACCAAGGGCAGTAGAAGTAGGTTTCTATGAATGAAACGGGGCAGTTCTTGTCTTGACACATCATGACTTTCCTTTGATACAATAGTTTTCCTTTCATACATGGGAAAGTGAAGTGAATCTCCATTCTGGGCCATTCTCCATTTGCTAGAGGGAGGTCAGAACCCCTCTCTCAATCCAGGGCGGGACATTGTGACCCAGCCAGTGTCAACACTAGAAAGATGATTCAGAGTCTGAAGTAGCGCCCCAGGTGCCAAGAGGCTCACCTCTAGGCCCTGACTCCCTCTATGGGTCCTGCTCCTTCCTACAAAGTCCATCCCAGGGCTGGCCTCGCTCAGGGATTGTGAGAAATGCGTGAGCTGGAGTGAGCATATCAACAGTTTTCTGTCTACTAATAAAAAATGCCCCTGCCATTTTTCTGAAAGTGGCTGATATGAGTGAGAACAGATGGAGGGAAACCCTTTGTGCAGGACTTTCCCTTCAAGGGATGGCCCCCTGGGGGAGTCTGCTGCTAGCTGGGACCTCATTCTCCACCCGCCCCCCGCCCCCAGGCAGCCTCTCTTGCTTTCATTTTCCTTGAATGTACATAGGAACAGGGGAGAGAAGTCTCTTACTGAAGTGCCTGAAACCCAGAGCTAGAGCTTCTAGAGACGCCATTCTTCCGGTCTCAGCTTGACCTACCTTTCCCCAACGTTCTCTAGTCTCATGCTCCAGCTTCTCAACAAGAATAAGAGAATTTGCTGTTGTAATTAAGTAGGAAGCGAGACCCAATAACCAATCTACAGCAAAAGGCAGAGAATTACAGGGAAAAACAACTTGTTTCTTTACAGCCTAAATGTATTCATCCAAACTACACACACACACACACACACACACACACACACACACACACACACACAGTCTTTAGGGGACTAAGACAGAGAAGCATGTTATATTTCATTCATCAAAAGAGTGATGCAAAAACCAATCAGCAGAATAGGAAAAGCTCAGGATCTCTCCCATGGCTACTGCAGAAAGGCCATCTGCGGAGGTGGAAGGGATTGAAAGAGGGACCAGTTTTGTAGCTCATCCAATTAGGGCACTTTAGGAAAAGCATCGTGGTAATGATGATAAAGACGCTTTGTTGAATTCATCCAGTCTGCACCTTCCTAGAGCTGCTCAGTGAACTCAGCTCTTCACATGGCTGCTTTGTTGTGTAAGTGTGGAGTGTCCTATGAACCTGTTCCAGTTAGTCCGGGCTGAGTCATGTTCTTCCCTCTCAGTCTGAGGGTCCAGAACTCAGCTTGATCCAGGAAGTCTCGAGGATTGGCGTGGGGAGGGGGAAGCTTTTTTTGAATCACTTTTTGGTCACTCAAGCTACCATTTTAAGAGTAATATTTGCTTTATGGAAACCAATTCATCAATAAAAACGACATTCAAGTTGCAATGCCATTTCACAGTGAAATATTTTGAGTAAATTTTGTTGCTTAGTATAGTCAGACAAAAGTTTTATCAGCAATATGTTATAATTATGTTAATAAATAAGGCAATGATACTAGAGCCTCGTGTCTTGGTCTAGAATCTTCTCTGTGGGTTGTGGAATTAATCTCTTTTTTTTCATAATCCTATCTGACAGGAGACAACAGTTGTAAAAAGTTCTTAAGACAGGAGATTTTCTACCTGGTTTAGCTGATGCTATGAGTGTAATATGAAAGTATATACAACACACAGAAGGATCATAAGCAGGGAAGAATAATTAGCAATTTTGTGAATTGTGCCTAAGTTTTTCTCAATTAAAAAAATATCAAATCTTAGATTCCACCTAATCTGCATATTGGTTAGCTTTGGCTCCTTGATGAAATTAGTTCTTTATGAAATAAATATATTTCTGAAAATTAAAAACTTGAATAACTTTTTTGGCATAAAAGATCTTAAGTAAGACCAATTATGAAACTTGTACATTGTTTTGGCAATGTAAAAGAAAAAAGAAAAAAAAGAAAAATTTATTAATTGTTCAATTCTGCTGTAACTCCTAGTTCTTATGTCATTTTTAGTTGTGACATATATGATGTATTAGTTTAAGTTTAAATGGTGATTGTCGCTAGCTCACTTCAGTTGTGATTCAGAAGGTGAAATAGCAATTTCCTGTTAGCCCAGCTCATTCAAGGTTTAGCTGCTTGTTTGTCAGATTAGTTGTGGTTTTTTTTAAAAAATCATTTTAGTTCTTAGTATTTTTTGTTGTTGTTGTTGTTGAAAGTTGGGATTAGCAGGCTTTGTGTGTATCCATGTGGGCTTGTCAGCCCAGAATAATGATGCTTGATATACCTTGTAAATTGATTCCTTGTATTTATGTTCACAATTTTGGGACAAAGCTAAACACTTTTTTTTCTCTGTCCTGAAAGTATATAATGATGAGAACTTGTTTAAAATAAGGTATAAACACTGTTTTAATATCCTAACTTTTGTGAGCCTATCAAATATATATTCTACATGTGAATTAACATATATATACATACACATTTCTTCCTTTATGACTCATAAGTAAGCTTCAGATCTTGGCATTTTCTAGGAAGTTTCATGTAGGCCATAGTATAACAAAAGCAGAGAAAAGAAAAGAATCTAATTTCTGCTTTCCAGGAGGGAAAACTGAACCACAGCAAGAAGCCTTAACATTCCCATGACCACGCAAAATGTCAAAAGAAGTCATGATAAACATATTCCTGGTCCTTGAGACATGTTCCAAACATTGGACATTACTGAGTATTTTCTTACCGTTTTCTCCGGCCTCCCAAGGATACTGAAAGGAAAACACATCCTGGGATAAGATCAAAAACACATCTACTAAGAAGCTCTCAGTAGATGGTTTCATTTCTACCCCCATCTTCCCAAAGAAATCCCCATGAGTCAAAGTAGCGGATGATGTACGTAGTCGCCCACCTTCAGCACAATTAGTCAGAAAACTCTTGGAGGAGAAGTATGACAAAGTTTTTACTAGAAATAGTAAATACTGATGACAAATTGGAAGAAAAGCTCCCTTAATATGGCAGGGTCAGGTCAAGACTGGTAACAAAGGCTAAGTCCTGGGTAGGCCATCTCTAAGTCCCATGGCCCTTCTCTCTCCTTAGGGACTAGTCAGAACCTCAGAAATGAAGGAATCATTTCTAAACCAAAGGAGCCACAAGACTTACTCTTCCATTGCCTCCCCAGGGAGAACATTCTTAGACTTTCTTAGCTATCTATCCCATTGAGGAATCCTTTTATGGTTGCATGTACCTTGGTAATTGACTAATGGAATCCCCCACGAAGTTCCCTAATATATATGCTGTCTGACCCTATACTGAGCAGAGACAGATAGCCAGTCACTAATGATGCACTCTCCCCTTTCCTAGTGTAGAATTGCCACCAGGAAGTGGCTTTCTGCAAAGGACTACATCCCCCAGACCCCTTGCAAGTTACAAGTGGTCTAGACCATAGAATGCAGGCCTGGCCCATGAAAACTTTCCACGTGTCTCTCTTCCCTATGTCTTCTTTCCATGCCACTCACTGGAATGGAGATAATTCCCAGAGTAAGCCTAAAAGTCACATGTTATAAATGACAGGGCCTCTGGAATGACCACGTGGAGGGCCAGCCTGCCAACTTGCTCCCCATTCAGCACATTACGAGAGCAAGAAAAAAACATTGTGTTTGAGTTATGCACATTTTTAGGTTGATGTGAATTGAATTAATGCATCTACATTTTCTAGGCACTAGTTAATTAAAGTGAGAGATTTGTAGAACACGTGATTGAGTCTGTCAAGGTTCACTTCCACAGAAGGTAAAGCAAAGTGGTCAGACCCGTCAGTACTTGGCAGGTGGGAGGGTTAGTGCAGACAGGGGTGGAATCCTTTCCTCAGCCGTGTGGGTAGAGGGCCAATTCAGGACCCGAATTTACTGTACTTCTATGTGTTAGAAAGCATGGGCAATGTAACACAAGCTACTGATTTTTACCTTTATTTTATAGCCAATAAAAAAGACAGAAATATTCATTATAACCACCACCCCACTCAGGGCGTTCCAGAAATAAATGCTCCTTCATGCCTAGGAGACAGCACCAGTTAAATCTTGCAAAGTTCTCTCGTGTTGGAGAAGGCCAGACAAGTCGCTCAGCACGAGGATTAAAAATGCTAACTCCGGGACTCCTTGCTCCTTCTGTGGCATTTTCATTCCCATCATTCCAAAACCTCCACCTCAGGCTTTGAGTTCAACAAATTAGAAACTGACCACAGGCATCTAGGAGTTAGGCTTTACTTAAAACATGTCCCTGAAAGCCGAGGACATACAGGGGTGAGGCAGAACTCCAGTCTTTCTAGCCGGGGTGGAAGTGCCTCTGGTTTTCCCAGCAATTCCCACTGGTGTCACCATGACTCAACAGTCTGTTGCAATAGGTTGTGGAACAGGACAGAGTGACCACTGGCCTGCAAAGACCACATGCACAACCCAGAAGCCGTCTCAGCTTTGCCAAATCCCAAGTGTTCCCATGGGAGTGTCTTGCAACATAAGTTCTGTTGAGAACAGAGCTTGCAAACCAGGGGGTTATTGCAATAAACAGCACTTGTGATGACCAGGATTTGTAAGTATAGACGTATTTTTTTTTTAATGCTTGTCTTCATCACTGGACAATCAACTCTATGAGGGCAGACCCTATGTCACCTCTGTACCCCAGCCCCTGTCACACAGGGAGTACTTAATAAACACATGTAAGGATGGATAGATGAATGGATGGAAGTAGGAATGGAAGAGTGAATTCTACTGAGCTCAACTGTGAGCAGGAACATTTTCTTCTATAGGACAAGAGAGAGAATGAGATGAAACACAAGTGCAAATAGTTTTTAATGTTTGAAAAGTGGGATTGAATTAGAACTAATAAATCTTCTAGACAATATTGTACCTCTTTCAGTGCCCAAGCTATGTTTTTCCAATCCCTTTGAAACCCAAAAGTGAATTCCCAGTGTTTGCTTGGCTGGGAGGACAAGCCGAAGGGATGACATTGTGGAATCATCAGAGGCAGGACGTCCCTCTTGGGCCCAGAAGAACTGGAAGGCAGGAGGGCACCAGCAGGCACCATTGCTCCAATGGGCCAGTCTTGCATCTCCTCACTCCATCACTGCTCGCTCCTTCCAGCTTAAAAGGGGAGTACACCTTTATGTAGTGAGTGTTGGGTGGAAGGAACACTGATCAACAAGAACACTGGACACTACATGTCAATAGTATTTTACTGGCCACGGTAGGGCTTGACTTCACTCTCTGTGTTGACATTAGGAAGAATTTTATGCATGAGCAAAGTCGAAACATTTTCCTTTGGTCACACTATTCAAAGAATGAGCTATCTCCCAGCAGCACTTTGTCCATACTCCAGGACTTGGTTCATGTCTATATCATCTGCCCGAAGATTTTGTCCTTCCATCCAGTCTATCCCTTGGGGTTCAGGCCCTTGGTTGGTCTCCTGCTCAATGCTATTTGCCTTGTTGCCCAGCATCAGGAAGCAAGTAGCATCACACTGGTGCAATAAGACATCTGTCTGGCCAAGGTCTCAGGGGTGGGATCAGGTTCAGTTGACCTGAGCATGCCTATGCAACATGTTCAAATGTCCACATCCCTCCCCACCCACATGAGAGAGCTCCTGTATCCCAAGAGCCTCAGTTGAGAAATCTGTACGGCAGCTTCAGTGTTGCTCAAGAGCCTGCGTGTTGTAGCAGCCTGGGGGCAGGTTGTCCCTAATGTTCTCCAAGTTTTTCACATCAGCCAGGATCCCATCTATGCTCGTCTCCAGCACATGGAGGTGGCCCCTCTGTCGCCGCGCCCTCTCTTCCAGCTCTGACATCAAGGGCCGCAGCTGGCTGTTGATCTGAGTCTTGGCTCTGGAAAGCTTCTGCTCCAATAAAATCAGCCCCTCTTCATTCACACTGCTGGGCTGGTCTGTGGGGGAGGAGGAGGAAGAAGTTAACAGAGAAGAACTGCGCTTAGATTTCCTTAAACATACACAGGTCCTTCTATACCCTTAACTAATTCCTCTTACACTGTCTAGAGCAAATAACATGCCAGGCAATTTTAAAAGGCTGAGCTCACCCCAGGATCAGAATCAACCGCGAATTACGCTTTCTGAGCCACCCTTAGGCAATATCTTGCTATTTCCCATTGGAGAATCTTTAGAAGCTGGCTGTGCTGCAGGCTCCATAGAGGCCAGGGTATGCTTTGCTATTTGGAGGATGGGTTGCAGCTGTCAGGAAATGATGCAAGATTTCATTCTGGCCTGGAACAATGGGGATCTATCTAGATACTGGTTTATTTCCAATATGAAATGCAGTTACAGTTGTTCAGGTATGGTTTACCCATAAGTGAGTGAAACTGACATCAGCATGAAGGACACCTGGCCAGATTCTTTTGGTTTGAACAGGTCTGAGCAGCCCTTGGCCAACTCAAAGTCAAGGTCAGGTGGCTTCCCCTATCTAAGCTGAATGACAGCATTTGATGGCATGAGTTTATTATACCTAGAGCAATTAAAGTGCTATTGTTCCAGGACTGAAGAGAGCCAATAGGGTAGAAACAACACCATGACAAAAATGGATCAATCTTTCACCTGGGGGCTGGGGAGAATTCACGAATTTAGTGTCGTATGGCATGAAAAGAAAGCTAAGTAGGCTTGGGCACAAAATAACTATGTCCATGGGGACGCAGTATGAGCTGTTCCAAAACAGCAGGGACGCTGGAGACAAGGAGACCTGGGCTTGAATGCGGCCTCCACAACTGACTGTGTGACCTGTGGGTCAGTACTAACATCTTTGAGCCTCAGTTCGTACCTCTGTGAAATAAAATAATAGAAACAATAGAACCCACCTCGTAGGACCTTAAAAAGACTAAAGTGATATTCAACCATAAAAACCCCTGGCATCATGTTTGGCACAGAGTAAAGCCTTAATAGTTCGCATCTGCCCTTCTCGTCCTACTCTCTCATGGTCTCTGCCAAGGTCTGCTTGGTTTCATTACCTTTTTCGGAACCTAAACGAAGATGCTAAAACCTCAGCTAGATGGTGCATTTTACCCTTTGAAGGTGTTTTACTCTTCAGGGCTCATTGGGTCACAAAGCAGACCCATTAGTATAACAGCACAGACAATATTGGTCCCTCAGGGTGATGCTACCCCACAGAAACATCAGGTTTTGTAGTTGTTCTATTGAACTTAAGTAGGAGAAGCAAACTTTTTCTTGAATGTGGCTGGAGTCGATGACCAAATACCTAGTTCTTTGCCTGCTGTAGTCCAGGCTTGATCAAACAGGCCAAATGAGGGCCTGAGAGCCGTTCTACCTAAATCTAGAATTGTAATTCACATCAGTTTTCTTCCAGCAGAATTCTGTGGAGAAAGCTGGGTTGTTGCCATGCTGTGCCATCTATTTTATCCTAAAATTCTGCACTATCTCATGGACCTCACACCTTCACATTACCTATTAGGCAGCTCCAGTTTCCACAGCTGGTTGCATCCAGGTATAGCTGTGGTTTGGGGACGGACACTGAGCAGAATCAGCAAGTGACTCTTGACTTCTTGCCCCTCACCATTTCTACTGCTTCAGAGAAGGCTTTATCATCTCTCTCCACAATTCCTTCAACAGCCTCCTAAAAACAGTCTTGCCCTGCCTTTTATCTAACCCACCTCCCAGCTCTCCTCTGCACAGCTGCGCAGTGATCTGTCTGAAATATACAGTGATGACGTTATTCCTCTGCTTAAAGCTGTCCGCTGGCTTCTCAGGATCAAGGCCAGAATCCTTAGCAGGACCATCAAGCTGCCCAGTCTTCCCTTTAGCCGTGAAGTTCAGCCCTGCCTCCACAATTTACTTTGTGGTCTACGGGACATTAGGAACCAATCTGAGCTTCAATATACCTTCCCTAAATACACTCAGCTCTTTGACCTAGAGACTTCCATCTCCAAGAGCAATAGGTGCCCAGTGGCCCATCTTAGAGATGCTAACATGGAGTCCAGAAAATGTAAAGGAACCTGCCTGAAGTATCTGGGCCTGGAAACAAAGCAAACTTCCTGATACCCTTAAGGAAAGTTGAGACTCCCATTCACCAGGGCTAGGTCTGGTTTGATATCCAGGGAAAGGTCTCAAGCATGGGGCTGGGAGCTCGTGGGTACTCCACATACCTATTAGGTGTAGGATGCTGTCCAAGCTGTTGAGTGTGTCTTGGATCGTAACTCCGGCATTCTTGGCTCTGTTATCAACTCTTTGAGCTTCTGCAATTACCTGAGAAAAATACACACAACTTTGTCTTGAGAGGGTGTTTCCCACACGGGCACACTTAAAGGGATCCCCCTTGGGAAGTCATGGGACCTCACCCTCTGCACCATGTCCATATCTGTGTCGAACTCTTGCTCCTTTCTCTCCAGCTCTCCTTCCACTTCCCTCATCTCGCTCTTCAGAGTGGCCAGTCCCTTCTCCATGTCCAAGGCTCCATCTGCTGTCACATTGGCTTCTAAGTTCAGACTCCCTATCTCCTGGGAGAAGAAAAGGAGCCAGGGACGGAAGGAAAGAGAGGGGTGAGGCACAAAAACATTCCAAAGGCAACTGAAGAAAAAATACAGCTGCAGCCAGGCCCTGACAGAGTAAGCAACATGAACAAGGCGAGGGTCAGGCTTGGGGACACACCCTTTCCCAAGCTCTGCCTTCAACAAGTTAATTTGGGGGTACGTCTCTGGGGATGAGGAGGGTCAGCGCTGAGACACTGCTTCCTTCTCGGACCAATAGTCACCAAGTGGTGAACATAACAGGAACCACTTGGGGCAACCCAAAGGGTAAGAAACTCATCTCATTCTCTATCATGTTCCTTTGCTGTCTCAGTCTTTTGAAGGAATTTATTCCCTGAGACAGTGGAGCATGGAGTGCAGAGAATGAACGGGCTACAATTTTGAGTTTTGTTTTTATTAGGACAGACCTAATCAATATCAATGGCTACTGTTAAGCACCAAGTTGCAGATGTCCCTGTGCTAGAAGCCATATGAAGAGAGGCACATGAAATGGGTCTCTACCCACAAAGGACCTAAAGGTAGAGATTATTTTTGCAAGTTACCAAGTGGTCCAAGAGTGAGGCCAGTCCGGATAACAAGAGTGCTCTCTGGGCTTTCTAGAGAAGCATCAGCTTGGTAGAAGTTGTGCTTAAGTAGAACCACAGAGCTCTCTCCCAGCTGAGAAGCACTCCTGGAAGAGCATTTAGCATATGGGTTGTAACCGTCACTGATCTGTCTGTCCCCATTACTGAACGCTCCTGGAACAGAAGGACTGGGCCTTTCTCATCTCCATAGCCCTGGCACCAAGCAGAGCCTGGCCCATAGTAGAAGGAAAAAAAATGAGTCAGGGGAGCTTAGACATAGAACATAGAGATGAGGGACCTGGAACTCTAGAATTTCATAATCTTGAATGAACACATTGATGTTCATTGTTATGGGTTGAATTGCATTGTTATTCTTCTCCAAAGACATGCTGAAGTCCTAATCCCCAGCACTGGAGTAGAGTGGGCCCCCTAATCAAATATGACTGGTGTCCTTACAAGAAGAGGCAGAGACACCCAGGGAGAAGAGCCCCATGTGATGATAGCGGCAGCGATTGGAGTGACGGCAGCGATTGGTACAATTCAAGGAACGCTAAGAATGGACAGCCACCACCAGAAGCCCGGAATGTTTCCACCCAGAGCCTCAGGGGGAGTATGGCTCTGCTGACGCTTTGATTTCAGACTTCTAGCCTCCAGTACTGTGGGATCACCAATTTCTGTTGTTGTAGGCCATCCCGTTTATAGTGCTTTGTTACAGCAGCTCCAGGAAACTAATACAATAGTATGTATACAAACCATCTTGGGCGGTTCTGCTCATAGTGTTGTCCAAAAAGGGAGCTGAAAATTAGAGGGTTCCAGCACCGAGTCAATGATGGGCTGTGAGTCAGTCAACAAAAAGGGTGCCCAAGTGGATCTGGGGTCACCATGGGCCACAACAGGAGCTTTCTGGGTCAAAAGAGCTCTTGAATGCTTTGGAATGCTCCTTCCTATTCCACACTACCCTGGAGGTGGGCACTATTCGTGCCAACCTGCCTCTCGATGTCTCCTTACCTGTTCTATCTTGCCAGTGATCTCCAGGGCCTCCCTAGCCGCGTGCTTGGCCCCCTGGGCATCAGCAGCTGCACCACCCAGGGCTTGTTCTGCTTGCTCAGTCTTGTTACTGGCGTCGGCAACCTTCTGGCTTATTTGGGACAGTCTCTTCATGGCCTCTTCAGCTTCTGCTTTTCTGTCTCCAACCTGCTGGTCAAACTCTGAAAGGGACATAAGGAAACATGGCCAGGAAGATGAGAACAAACATACACAATAACTGACAAAGGAAGATGAAAGAGGCTGAAGTCTTTAAGAAAAATTCTGGAAAGTGTGATATTGCCTGGGAACGAGGAGGCGGGGAATGTGGCTATTGCTCTTTCTTATCCAGGGGAAAGCATCTTAAAGGAGGCCTTGAAAGGACCATAATCTGTCCTTTGCTCAGAGGAACTCTCACCCTGCCCTAGGTCCCCATCACTGCAAGAATCTTAAGACCCCAAAGTGAATTAGAAGCAGGTGGAATTTTTTTTTTTTTTTTAGCATTTTTATGAGTTTATTTGAGCGAAACTGATGACATTGTTGGGAAGCAAAATCTCAACAGATTGAGAAAATGCCCCAGAGAATGGCAGTTTTTTGTACCTTATTGTATACATTACAATCAAAGGAGGAGGCATAAAAGGGTTACGTGAAATTCCCTGGTAATAGATTAGGGAGGCAGGAGAAAGCAAAGTGGGGAAATCTCTGGGACTGGATATGCAGGTGGGATCAGGGTCTTTGAAGCCCAAAGTTTCAAGTTGGAGCCTTAACTCTTAAGCTGCCAATGACAACATTTGAGGGTTGGATAGAATAGGTAGACAGGTACTTTCTATGAAAAAAAATCCCAGAACTTTGGGAATTTTTGTTGTTGTTCATTAGTGAAGAAGCCTGAAACTTTAAGCATATCTCTAAGGCACAAACCCAAATTTCCTAGGATCTGAATGCTGTGACAAAGCTTGTCCTATCATCGCTACAAAGCAATCTATATTGGAATCAACCAGGCCACTGAGAGAAAAGAAGGAAGGAAGGAAGGGAGGAAGGAAGGGAAGAAGGGAGGGAGGAAGGAAGGGAGGGAGGAAGGAAAGAGAGAGAGAAAGAAAGAAAGAAAGAAAGAAAGAAAGAAAGAAAGAAAGAAAGAAAGAAAGAAAGAAAGAAAGAAAGAAAGAAAGAAAGAAAGAGAAAGAAAGAAAGAAAGAAAGAAAGAAAGAAAGAAAGAAAGAAAGAAAGAAAGAAAGAAAGAAAGAAAGAAAAGGTGAGGGAGGGAGGAACGGAGGGAGGGAGGGAGGGAAAGAGAGAAAGGGAGATATGGAGAAAGAAAAGAAAAGAGCCCTGGCTGGTGTGGCTCAGTGGACTGAGTGCTGGCCTGCGAACCAAAAGGTCACTGGTTCAATTCCCAGTCAGGGCACGTGCCTGGGTTGCCAATCGGGTGCCCAGCTGGTAGCGTATGAGAGGCAACCAATCAATGTATCTCTCACACATCAATGTTTCTCTCTCTCTCTCTTTCTCCCTTCCCCTCTCTCTAACAATAAATAAATAAAATCTTTAAAAAAAAAGAAAAGAAAGTAAAAAAAAGGAAAAAAAATAACAGTATGATAGTGGGATATTGGATCTGTGAGGGCCCTTACAGGTCCCTTGGCTTAACCTTTTGCCTTTAAAGAGAGAGTTGGATTCCAAAAAGGCTTTGTGACTTGCCCACAGTCACACAGGCAGCTCAGCCTGGTCCTGGGGCCCAGCAGAAATCGGAACTCAAGCCTTCTGACACCTAGTTCAATTCTTCCCACTGCATCAAATATTAATGAAGTTGTTTTCTTCAGAAAGTTATTTATTAAGCATCTATTAATACTCCCTGTCACTAATTAATATATGTCACAATATTAATATACCTGTCATGATATTAATATACCTGTCACTTAGAGAGATAAATGAGGATTCAAAATAAACCAAAGTCATGGTTACACCTTTAAAATGCTCAAGGGAATTTGAACCATGAATTACTCACCTCTGAGGTTCTTTAAGATGTTCTCAACTTCATAAAAAGTGGCATTGCCCATACTTAGTGCTTCCTGGGCTCTTCTTTTGGCAAGGTTGGCACGGGAAAGTAGCTGAGCTGAGTTCTGGAAATAGGCAGATAGAACACGATTAGTACAAATGTAAATACACCTGGGAAGTGCAGTCCTGCCAGCAAATCACTGTGACACATTTGTCTTGTGGCAGCAGAATGCTGTGATTCCCCTAGGAATCTAGGGGTGCTGCAGCCAAGCCCTCCACGTCTGGGACAGAGCCAACTCTATACCCCAAAGACTCAAAAGCATCCCACATAGAGAACACTCTCGAATTTAATCTACCATCAGAAACAATAAGTTTTGCAAACCCTAATTTTGAACTTTAGGTACTTCCTGAAGCCACGCTAGCAGACGGAGCTGGACCACAGCTGGACGCAGCAGGCCTGAGTCCCATTCCTAGATCTGAGGCTGAGTCAGTGGGTGGAGCTGAGCTAATTATATCAAGGCCTCTGTATCTCTTTGCTATATGCAGCGGCACCATGGCCTCTTAGAGAGTTTCTAAGTTTTTTCCTCCATATTTATTCACACGGTAGGCATATAACACATTTTGTTGAGTGAACGAATTAATAAGATACCTGTCTCTCATTCTTTCCATTCTGTAAGAGCTGTCGGGTGTCTTCTTCCCAGTTTCCCAGATTGCTTTGCATATGCTTGAATTCATCCATATGCTTCGTCACCAGGCTTGAGAGAGAATCAGCTTTTTGTCTGATCCTGTTTGCTTCTACCTGCGAGCCCAAGGAAATGAATGAGTTGACTTCCTGCTCATCAGTTACCACACCAGCCTTCCTGGGGCCTGCCATCCTTGTTTGAAAACAACAACAATACGGGCCCGAAGTCTAACAGGCTCTATGCCGAAAGGAGGTCCTTCAGGCACCAAAACAGGTTTTCTTTTTTAAAAATTACGTTTAATTACAGTTGACACATAGTATTATATTAGCATCAGTTGTACAACATAGTGATTCACCCTTATGAAGTGGTCACCATGAGTCTAGTACTCACCAGTCACCATACACCGTTATGAGGGTATTACTGACTACATTCCCTCTGTTTATAGTACATTCCAAAGACTTATTTTATAACTAGAAGTTTGTTCTGCTTAATCCCGTCCCCCTTTTCTTCCCATACCACCACCCTCAAAGAGGTTTTGCATCTGTTTTTATTCTTGTTATTTTATGTTTTAGTTATATATACATGGGAGGGAACCCCTGTGAGTGCTTTTTGTGGTAGGTAGGAAGCAAAATTTTCTTAATCTACCTTTGGAATTGATGACAGAAATAATGCAAAACTTGTGAGAAGGACACAAGTCTTCTGAGTGGCTATACAGAGATATACTATAAATTTCACTCAAATGGAAATGCCAAACTTTATCCATAATAACTCCTGACAGGCTTCAGCAGTCCCCAGAAGTAGGGAAGAGATGCAAAACTTTTATCCATTGATGGGTTCAGGATGGGAGCCAAGGCCTTTTCAAAGACCAAGACCGGGGTTATAGAACATGGAAATGGGTAATGAGAAAGATACATGCTCTTCCCAATAGAAGCAAGAAAGGTCAACCTGGAGACAAAACTAAACGATTAAACGATGTTATGGAACCCTCAGGGGAGAAAGCGTTATGGCTCTTCTGTACATCGGCACACAGGTGAGATGCTCTTACCTGCAAGGCCTGATCACTGACTCCCTGAAGCTGAGAAAGGGAATTGAGAAGGCGGAGACTATGTTGATAAGACTTATCTGCTTCAATGTCCATGTGAGTGGCCTCCCTGGACAACTGCTGGGCCAGAGACTTAGTTTTCTCCAACCTGCAGAGTGGGAAAATAGAGGACTTTGTGAGGATTCACTCTTTTTATTGATTTATTTTTAAAGATTTTATTGACTTATTTCTGTTTAGAGAGAGGGCAAGGGAGGGAGGAAGAGAGGGAGAGAAACTGCAATGTGTGGTTGCCTCTCCCATGGCCCTACTGGGCCTGTAACCCAGGCATGTGCCCTGACAGGGGATCGAACCGGCGACCCTTTGGTCCACAGGCTGGCACTCAATCCACTGAGCCACACCAGCCGGGGCCACTCTTTTTATTTTTAAAAGCAAAAAATCCATTCTGTTGTCTTAAAAATATGTAGTTGGAATTATCAGAAAGACCAAATGAGTTTTTGTGTCAAACATGTGCTCTACTCTACCCCCTAAACATAAGCCTTAAAACTGATACAGCCTGGATCAGGAAATTTCAACCCAAGTTTCCCAATTCTTGATAATATAGATATATTCGTTTTGTATCCTCCACGCCACCAGACGGGTTTACTCACATCCTTCAAACACTACAGAGGGTGACCATATCTCCAAGCCTGCAACCTCTCAATTGAGACACAAACTTAGATTAGCCAACCTTTACTTCTTCCAGCCTGAAGGGCACCTGTTTGGCCCCAAAGTAACATTCTCATTCTCTTGCTCCTCTTATTATTAATATATTTTTTAAAGGCACATGGTTTGCGTTATGCCCTGGGAAGATGCAGATGACATTGGTCCCCGTGAGGACCTGCCGAGACATACCTTCCCATAAGCCCTTGCACCCCGGGGCCATCCAGGCTGCCACCGCTGCCTCCCTCCTGAAGTGCCTTGCGCGCTAGCAGTAGAGCTTGTTTGGAATAATCTTCAGTTTCTCTTGCCAGTTGCTCCATGTTATTGGCTGATTCCTCATGGCTGAAATAATTAAAAATAAAGAATTGGAGCTTTCCTAGCAAGACCTTCCTTAAGGCCTTTTATTTAAATGAAGAGAAGGGAGCAAGGGAACTTGTTTGGCTAGAAAATCCAAACAGAAGTGACCCAGTTAGGTGGAATTAGAGGCACTATCAGGGGGCAGAAGGTGTTCGATGGGGGTAGCCTCATGCCATAGACTTTTTGGTGATCTTTTCCATTTATGGCACAACCAGGAGAGGCCTGGGGTAGGGGGTGGGGGTGGCTGGGAGAAGTATCAGGGTGATAGAATATTGCATTTACAAGCTGTTTTCTGCAGGAAAGATAAAAAAAAACCCCAAAACACCCTAGGTCTTATTTCATCCAACCCTCTGCTTGCTTTTGCTACAACTCTAAACTGGGCCACCACGAGGGGGGACAAAGCCTGTCAATAAAAGCCCCCCACGTGCGTTTGTTCTTCTGGTTCTAGAAAGTGATAAAAACAAACCCAGGAGGCAGCCAATGCTGCAAAACAGAAGCCAGCCCCTCTGCAGACTGAACGGCATTTAGGATTAACGAGGTGCAACCCTGCTGAGCACTGGGCTCTGAGCAAACCTTTTGCGTGGTAGCTTAGAGTCAGGCAAGGACTAAGGGGCCACCTGTTGTCACTGAGGCCCGCAGAGCCGGTTTTCAGGAGGAAGTCACCCCTAGGCAGACCTATCCCCCACAGGCCAGCAAAGACTTGTTGCTACTTGTTCCCAGGCTCAGTGTGGGAGCTTGGGAGTCCCTCAAAGCTGCGGAGTGTTCTTTTCCAAGGACTGATTCATTTCATGGGGCGTGTGCGAGGAAGCACATCTGACATACACCAAAACCATGTCATGAGTCATAGAAAAATCTGGGCAAGAACCACCCTGATCCCCAACTTCTGCCAAATGACCGCGTCCAGGGGCCACCTACATATGCTAAAAGGCAGATGGTTTAAAAATGGCGTCAGGAGAGGGGAAGGGCTGCAAGGGCGCCTGAAGTAATGAATCTGACACTGAGGGCATACGCGCCCTGCAGTGTTGTTCAAGTCCAGCCACGCCGAAGAGGTTCGGAGCCGGGGTGCCTTCCGACAGCGCTCACCTGCCGGCCAGTCTCATGGCCTCCTGAGCCAGACTCTGAAAGCTATTTGGCCCCACGTAGCGGTCTGAGGAAGGGATGTCCTGTGAGAAAAGAAAGTTGGTTAAGGCTTTGCACTTGGCCGTGGATCCTCATCAGGTTCTGCACCTGTCCTACCTACCAAAACCAACTTGTCACGGAGCCCCAAGTCACCCTGATCATTCCAGTTTTTAAAAAAAGTATAAACAAGAATAAAGTGGAAATTTGTGTTCAAAAAATGTCTGGATATGGGTACAGAGGCATTAAAAAATATGCACAGGTTTATATCGTCACACGCATTTTTAAAAAGTAGAATATATGTGAAGTTTTAATGGTGGTTATTTCTTAATGGGATCATAGGGTGTTCTTATTTATTTTCTGAAATTTTTTATAGTAAATATTACTTTTGTAATTAGAAAAAAGCAATACAAGTTTTCCATTTTTTATTGAATACACATTAGTTTTTAAATCCTTCACTTCCTCAGCATAATATCTGATTACCTTCTAATTTCCTTTAGTCATCTCTCACCTACCCACATCTGTAATTGTCACCTTCGCCTTCTTTATTCTGAAATAGAAGGGTGCTCATTCAAGTGTCTCCATCCTACCTCACTGCAAACTACATCATCCAGATAATGATACTGGCAACAATCTGTATTTCCCATGTTCAGAACCACGTCTTCATTGGGCTCCTTCCTTCTTTCTTCCCTCTCTGCCTTCCTTCCTTTTCTTTTCATTTATGGTTTTGTTAAATTGTTCATTCATTCACACAGCAAACATCATAGCCACATACGGTGCTATGGGCTGAGAAGTGTAAATATGAACGCAATGAAATCCTGCCCTCTGGGAGCTAACAAGCCTAGAAGACGTGCAGAGAGAAGGGAGAAGAGTCAGGGCCAAGATGAGGAGAACATGGTTAGGAAGAAATGAATTAGGGAGAAGAACATAAGGCACGCAGATGGGAAACTGCGGCCAGCTAACGAACACAAAAGTAGCTGTGACTGTTTCCAGGGAAGGAAGTCCAGCTATCTGCCAGGTGGACCAGAAAACCCGAGAAACAGCCAGTGAGCCAGTGATGCTTACAGGTGGGTCTCCCCCACATAGCCAGAGCCGTGGTGTTGGTACCTGACCCAGCAGCACCTACCGTGTTTCTCAGGGAAGACTCGCCCTGCTCCAGGCTCAGGCGCATCTGAGTGATGAGCCTACGGGTATCCTGAACTCGGCTCTGATACTGACCGCCCAGGGCCTGCACTCTTTCCACAGTCCTCTTGAGGTCATCCAGGCGGCTCCGGTAGCTATTTTCTTGGCTCCTCGCCTTAGTCAACTGGAGATTGAGGGACCTCATAGCACCTGAACGCCAACAAGGAAAGGGAGGATGAGCTTTTTGGAAGCCAGCACAGTGATCAAACATAACAGAGGCTGAAAAGGTGACTTTGACTGGCCGATGGCAAAATGGTGAAAACCCAATGAGTGAATGCATGCAACTGATCTTTCATCTCCCTCGTTCATTTCCCAGGAGAATGTCACAGATAGTCCTTTCCCCGCTGCAAGGGCTGGGCAGAGACACCCGCTGAACCCACAGCAGCGTTCGCGCCCTGGTGCGGCAATGCTTTCTAGGACTGGGACTGCTCCCCTGTCTGAAGGGAAATTGGCCTTCATCACCTTCCGAAATCTGGGCCTCTCTGAGAATGTCCCGAAGCGCCTGCTCAGCCTGCTGCATCCTGCCTTCCAGCTCTGCGTCGGGCGCTCCTCCACCGCCCCCTGCAGCCTTCGCGACCAGGGCCTCCAGGCTCCGCAGCTGCTGCACAGTCTGATCCATCTGAAACCACGCGGGAGAGAGGATCAGAACGGATGGTGGGCGAATCCCAGCTACGCAGGCACAAAAGCTGAAGGTCCAGGAGTGTCTAGCGGTTCAAAGTTCAGACTCGAGAGCTTAGACTCTGAGTCTGAATCCTGGCCCCACTACCCACTAGCTGTATGTCCCTGGACATGTCACTTTCTTTATCCATAAGATGGGGATAATAAGAATATTTAATAATAATACCTCCTAGAGCTATAACTCAAACTAAATGAGTTAATATTTTTATAGTGCTTAGAACACGGCTGGGAAAAAATAAGTGCTATAGAAGGCCAGATAAATAGGTACATTTTAAAAACAGGTTTAGTTTGTCCTACATTTAGAGTTCTGTTTGGACCCTTTCTCTCCCCACCCCTCACTCCAGCAAGATAATATATAATAATTAACAACATCAATTTCATTCTTTTTGGGCCATCAGTGAGAAATTTCTGGAAGCCATTCCAGTTTAGTCAGACTTGGAACCTTCTGGACTCCTCATATCTTTTGCATGTTTATGTTTTTCTTCACTTGTTTCACAAGGACATCTCTGGGAAGAAATCCTAGGAAGTAGCATTTTACAACAGAAAGGTCACTGGAACTCGGAGCCAGGGGACATGGGTGGGATTCTCAGTCCCACCTGGCCATGGGACTTTAAAACATTGCAAAAATTTTTTAGACTGTTTGCTCAATGAAAACTGAGCAAGTGCTAAGGTCAGAATGCTTTTTCTCCCAACTTGACTAAGTTATCATGAATACCAAATGAAACATATCTACAAAAGGGGTTTTGAGAATGACACAAACAAGGACATAAATCTGAAGTATTATTACTATTCTATCAAATTTTTAAAACAGTAATGTTTTAAAGAAGAAGATAGCAACCTTTCCCTCCATCCCCAAGGAGACAAGGAGGTTCCTAGGTCTGAGAAAGAGCTGCCCGGAGACACTTGCAGATTTTGCTCACGAGGGTAAGGGGTGGTTCGCATGCGCACCTGAGCCTTCACTTGGTCATAGCAAGCTGGACAGCTGGTCAACGCAGCGTGCTCACAGTTGAGGCCACCAAATCCTGGCTTGCAAACGCAGCTGCCATCACTTCGACATTCCATGGGCTCAGAGCCCATTGGGTTACAGTTACAAGCTAGAGACAGAAGGCAGACAAATAGGAAGCATTCCTATTCAGCTAATTCCAGAAATTGGAGGTATAGCAAAATAAAAGGAAAAGGATCAAGTTGGCATTCATAGCGTCATTTATTCACATTGGACTAAATTCATCTCTTGGCTACAGTTCCAGGCACACACCTAACACAGTTAGGTCTCAGGAATTCACTGGTAAGTTTGTTTGCTCTATGTGTGTGGATGAAGAAATATTACAACAGTTCATCCTTTCTGGTGGCATTTATTTTTTTTTCCTCCTGTTAAATTAAAAGCCTGTTGGATATTCACTCTGGCTTTGTTTACAAGGTGAGTAACATTTCTTCTGGTCCTAATATGGGCCAGATAGGGAAATCACCCTCTATTTTACAGAGGAGGAATATGAGCTCAGAGAGGTTCAGTAAGTTGTCCCAGGTCACACAGCAGGTAACAGCATGGCCAGCTAGAATGAGAATTTGAAAAGAGCCAATGTTCTTCTCCTCCCACCCTGCTGCCTTTGATGTACAAAATGCAGTAAGAAAGCAATACCTTTATTCAACCAGTCAAACTGATTGCACACCTACTATGTGCCACATTCTGTTCTAAGAGCTGAGAATAGAAGAGAGGTCAGACATCATTCTAGTGGACATACAGTGATTCTCTGGATCGCTTCCTCTTTGGGGCTCCCAAAATACTCAGCATATACTCACCTACATAACTGCCATTTTCTGCTCACATATGTGTGTCTTCCTTATTAGCACATGAGCTCTGTGGGACTGCGAGAGACTTATTCATCATTATGACCTTAGTATCAAGCTCCACATTGGGTAGGTGCTTGACAAAAGATAGTTGGGTGAAGAAATGTATGGTCTAAAGCCAATGAAATCACTATTAATAGCCTCTTATAACTAGAACTATATAGTTTACAGTACACTTTCTCTATGCTATCTTATCTTTGCAGCCACTTTGAGTTAAATATTATTCATCCATACGAGGAAGCTGAAACTCAGAGAAATTAACTGGTAGAATCAGAATAATACAACAGATATGTTAAAAAAAACTGGACTCCAACTCAGTACTGCCAGCGTCGTGTGGGCTTTCCCTACCTATCATGTGGTACTTTTGAGCACGTCACAGCCAACACTCAGGTTGAGCAGGTAGGATTCGCGCCCCTGGGGAGAAGCCTCAGGTTGTAAGAGGTCCTCAGGCAATTCCAGGGGTGGTGACTCTGGTGTCACTGGGAGGCTCTGGGCTCCCTGCAAACCTCCTGGGGTATCAGGAGTCCTCTAGTCTGGGTCCCCAGAGCCACTCTGGACCTTGTAATAAACAAGCTTCTAAGTTCCAGGCCTCGCCTGAGACCGTTGCAACCAAGGGGTGAGTCCGGCCCCCTAAAATTGAACCTGCCTGTTGAATATAACTTGTGCTGAGGTTCGAAAGAAAGGCTGAGCAAGAGGCCAGTCTGCACATTCTTGCTTTGATCTGAAGCAGCGTTAGGAATGCTCCAGATAGCTGCTGCTTTGAAGCCGAATCTCTTTAGGAGACGTTTTGACTGTTACCTTTCTGTACATCAATTACACTGACTTCCTGAGAGGGTGTCTTAGGCTACTTTACAGCCCGCACCTCAGTTTGTTCAGGCTTAGTCGCCAGTCATTTATTGCCCTCCTATAGCGGGTGTGGCAGCCGCTGCCCACCGGCCTTGGGCCTGGGCAGAGGATGTGGCCCCATCTTATCTCCTCTTCCACTTAGGAATGTAAACCTGACCTTATTCCTTTCTCCCACCCAGGGTTACCCATTCACCGTCTGCCAGCTCTGCCTTCCAGCCCTGCCAGAGGAGAAACTGGTCTAAGGCCTTTGACAGACGACAGGTCTGGGCTGCACATGGGCTAGCTAGTCAGAGGAACAAAAGTAACATTGCCATATCACTTGCTGTTGGCCTTGCACATTTGTACCTTCTTACACGTGTACACACACACACACACACACACACACACACACACACACCCCTGTTTGGGGACACAGTCCTACCTCGACACTTGTCTGCTGGGTTGGGAGCCAGGGGGTCCCCAAAGTAGCCCGCTTTGCACTGCTCACAGTAGACTCCGGCTGTGTTGTGGATGCACTTGAGACACCTGCCCGTCAGGCGGTCACAGTTCCCGGACGCACTGGGGTCCACGTTGCCGTTACACTGACAGGGCTGACAAGGCCTCACTGGGCCGCGTTCCCCAAAGGGGTCCCCGAAGTAACCATCGGCACAGAGCTCGCAGCGGGCACCTGGAAGGAACAAAGGGCCAAGCCCGGGGGCCACCCCTCAGCAGCAAGGCCAGACGCAGAGGCAGAAAGCACACGCAGCTCCACCCCGCACCCAGAACAATGGGCTCAGGAGCAGCCCCCCAGGCAGGGAGCTGGCTCTTGCCCTCCATGGGGGTCTCAGGCTTTGAAACACAGCAGCGCCCCTTGGGGGCTTCCCGCCAGCCAACTAGAAGGTGGGCAAAGTTGGGTTTGGAGAGCTACGCCCAAGGCCACTGCTAAAAAATTAACTCTTCTTTCAGACTGACCAGCAGACAGATGTGACATTTCAAAGGTCACTAAGTTTTCCTTCTTTGCCTTGGTTCATTTTTTAAAACCGAGTTAAAGCATGTATTCCGTCTGAAAACTTCATCTTGTAATTACCAACCTCCTAAGACACCTTAAGGTGTTTCTTCCCCAAACACTCTGCCCTTCCTCATCTTGCTTTACCTCCCAAGCATTGAAATAGTCTTATCTTTAGAACGAGCCCATTTGGATGAACCCTAAGCAATTACAATTCCCTAGCAATTCCGTGGAATAGAAGCTTTGTCCACGAACTCACGGCATCAGCACAGGGTGACACAGGCGCTGGCCTTACCAGTGACCCCGAGGGGGCAGTTATTGCACACGACCTCCTCTGTCTCGGGCATCACCGAGCAGCTGAACCCATTGCGGCAGGGGCACGGCTTGCAGCTGCGGGGGTCGTGCGGGTCGTTGTAGAAACCAAGGGGGCAGTCGGCACACTCGATGTCAGGGTTTTCATCCCCAGAGTAGCAGTCTCCTGGGAGGCCGGGGAGAACGGAGAAGCAGAGAAATGAGGAGGGGAAACCCCTCCCCGACCTGAACCGCTGATGCCGTCTGGGGGTCAGAGCTTAGGAGCTCAAAGTCTTCCCTTCTGAGGCTTTCCCCGGAGGGTGGGAGCCCTGGCCTTCCCCTTTGCCCTCATCCCGACTCTAAACATGGCCGCAGCCTCGAGTCTCACTCACCCTCACTGTCCCGTGCTAAGGAGACACACTCTTCCTTTGCTCTCCATAATGTAACCCCGTGCCCCCTGCCCCCACGGCCTGACACCGGTCGGTCGGTCGGTCGGTCGTTTGTCGGCACATTCATCCAGCCCTGACACTGCCTTTGATCTCCCCGTACAATTCTTGCAACTTGACACCAACCCCCCACCCAGCACTGAGCCACAACAGCCATTTCCTGTAACCTAGCACCTTTCCCACAACCTTGTGGCATTTCCATAATGAAAAGGATTGAGTGTAACAAAGCACCACGTCCATCTTCCCCGACTCCAGCCCGACTTTCCTTAATCCTTTCCCATCTCCAGAATGAAATCAGGCACATCTCATCCCAGGGAGGCCCCCTCACCTGGCTGCACCCACCCCCTGGTCCAGGTGTTAATTTCACTCACCTGTGTCTGGATCGCAGGTCCCTCCCCCTTGGCAGTTACACGGAATACAGGTGCCAAAAGGTCCCAGTCTGGCTGAATCTCTTTTGTAGCCAGAAGCACAATCCTGGCAGAACTGCCCCTTGTACCCAACAGGACACACACATTGTTCAACCCAGGGCGCGGGGGCTCCAGAGACGGGGCGGGCAGAAATCAGGGTCACGTTGTCGATGTACCCAGTACCTGCAATAGAGAGAACAGGTTAGTCGGAGCCTGACCCAAGGTGGTAAGGTCTAAAGATGGTCAGTCAGGCCTGTCTTGGGTTTTATCTTTCTCGGCTCACTATCGTAGACAGGTGGCGTTCAATCACTGTGCTGTGCGTGGAGGTATGGCGGTCCATCATGACTGAGAGCACAGGGTCCGGGGTCAGGAAAATCCAAATGTAAAATTCTGGCTCCACCCACGTGGGCTGTGTGAATTGGGCAAGTTACAAAACCTTCACATGAACGAGTATCCTCAATGGTGGACGTAACAGTGCGATCTACCTCCCATGTTTGTTGTGGAAATTGAATGAGACAACGCCTATGTTACAGTGCGCCTGGTCCATAGTAAAGACTCAATAACGTCTTAGGAAATACATTTTCTATGTCCTGCTTTATTCGCAGCATCAGTGACGTGAACATGGAGCGTGCAGCCGTGCTTCCTTTTTACACAGATGCTAAAACGCTGAAGGGACTCTCACTTGAATAACTTCATTTGGGACTAGGCAGACCCAAGGTGCTAAATTCAATAAAAGCAATTAACAGAATACATGATGGTGTCCGAACAGGGTGGGGCTGAGTATCATCGCAAAGGAAAAACTCCCCAAGGGATAAAGAGGTCTGTGTCACAGGCTGTGTGCCCACTTGCTGCAGATTATCTTCAAATCATCAGCCTGGATTCCGAGATTCTTAACACTTTTTAGAGAAACACTCCTTTTTAATAATTTCTAGAACCTAAAAATTTAATATAGAGACTCTACATTGAAACCATCAAGTAGTTTATTTATCTGCTTGCTTGGGTAGCTGAACCTTAGCTGAAGCAAATTAGGCTAAAGCCTAAGAACACTCATTTCCCCTAGTCACTTACTGTATTCCCCGTAGGTGGCTCGGATCCACAGGGCTGTGAGGTTGCGCAGTAACCTCCGATACTCAAAGTAACTCAGCTGGGGGCTCCAGTTACTGCTTGGATGTTCATTTAATCTGCATGATTTAAAAACCAAAAGCTTAAAAACCCAACTCTTTTCAAATCTCATCATTTGTACACCTGATACAAATTATGCCCAGGAATGTGGGAACAGCCAAGCCCTTTCGCAGTCCTGCTTAGAGAGGGGGCAACGGACCAGCAGCCACATGCTTGTGGGCACGAGCGTGGAGCTTTCTCACTGCGTGGGAAGTGCAAGCCCCACAGGATGCCATGGATAGAGGGCGATCCTGGGGAGAGAGCTGAGCTCCCGGGTCCATGGCTGCCAGCGCTGGGCCTAGTCCTCAGAGACCACTTCTGTTCCAGGTCATGCAAAACCTAATAGTAGAAATACCTCTGAGGTCAAGGAGCTCTGATCCTCAAGAGCTACTGTTCATTTTTGGATATGTTGTTTAAACAATTTGTTATCTGAGCACATTTCCCTTACTCTTTTCAAAAGCCAATTTCCACCTTCTACATCTAATCCATCTTAATTTGGCATCAAAGTGTCTAACACTATCTCCAGCCCCTGAACTATTTTTTTTTTTTTTATGTTTTCCTTTTGCTTTTCTTTTTCTCCTGGACTAGCCCTTCTAGGAACAATCCTAACCCTTTGTTTCATTCACCGATTCATTAAATAACAGTTAACTGTGCACCTGGTTTGGGTCAGAATCTGTATTAGGATGGAAGACACAGAGACACTGGGACAAGGTGATCAGTGTCCAGCCAGTGTCCAGCAAACAAATAATGCTGACACAACGTGTTGAGTGTCTGTGTAGGATGCCGTAGGAACCCCACAGGGTTCTGAAAGGGGTTCTGAAAGGCTAACACAAAGGAAGGACCTACAAACTAAATCTCAGAGTAAGTGCAACGAGCTAAGAAGGTGGGAATGGGCATGCCAGGTAGAAAAGCTGTTTGTGTGGACGACTGGAGTAAGTTGTGCTCAGTAATTTAAGTACACATGGCGTGTGTGCTATCGGTCTTCTAACTCTATTCCCGTTACTGCTACCCTGGTCTAGGCCTCTGGCAACCCTCGCTTGAACCCCTGCATACGTGTTCTGATGGTCTAGCGAAGGGCTCTACTGGAACTACCCTCCACACCTGATCATGCCACCTCCCAACCTCCATTGTCTCAATAAGCTTTCCATTATCTTATGGGCATGGACACAATCACAGCAGCTGGACGTGACCTACAAGGACCACTATGTGGGTCCTTTTCCAGACTTTTCAGCCTTATCTGTCCATCTCCCCTGTCCATGCTGTGTAGCAGCCATAGGTATCACTGGCCAGTGGCCCCAGTGTTGTCTTTCCACAAACCCACAGATACTGACATGTGCGGGTTGTCTTGAGTTTGTCCCTGGGAAAATCCCGTGCTTCTTTCTGTCCTCAGCCCACACACTGCTTCCTCGGGGAAGCTTCCTGGGACTCCTCCACACAGAATCAGGCACTTTCCTTTCCTCCTGAGTCCCCATGAACAGGCACACTACAAAAGCCATTTTTGTACTGTACTGTGTTTGCTTTTTAACATGTTGTATTATCCTACTAGACCATGAACTCTTGAAGGGCAAAGGTCATATTTCTTCATCTTGATTTCCCAGCTTCTAATCAGCACTGAGTACTTAGAAGGCACAGCCCCTTTTCCCAGCCTCTCTCACCATTCAAAACTCCCATCCCACAGGACAACGTGCAGCCCCCCAGACACGCACAGCGTCACCCGCGAGCTCACTCCTGCCTCTCTCACACCTCCCTTCCCAGTGCATTTACTCTGCCCCCACCCCCTCCAGGCCCCACTCATGCTTAACTATTGGAATTCCCTAACCACAAAACTCCTCAAGCATGATATTTTCTCTGTCTTGTTAACTGTTCCCCTTTGGTCTTCTTAGAGAGTCGCTCTTTACTTGCCATATCTTCTTGAGACACTGTCCTTGATCACTTCAATGTGGGTTAGTTGTGCCTATGTGTGTTCAAAACACCTGTGTCCCCCTTCTGTAGCACATCACTTAGAAGCTGCACTGTAACCATCTGTTTATTTTTCTCTCCCATTAGCCTGTCGGGGGCTTAAGGAAGGAATCGTGTCTTGTCTCAGCACATAACACCACGGCTAGAACATAAAAGGTGCTCAGAAAAGTTTGTTGAATGATCAAAGGAAGGGGACTGCAATCACAGTTTGCTCTGTTCCACCCACTGCCAGCCTCTCCTCTTACCTGAACGTGTAAGTCTTGGTGATCCCACAAGGCAGAGTCTTGCCCAGTGGCATCAAGGGAGCTGTGATCCGCAGGCCAGCACCTTCCAGGATCACGTCATGGGCAGATGGGTGTCTGCCTCCCCTGTCCACACGGTAGTCAAAAGACAGGCTTTGCCCATAGCTTACTTGTTGATTCCCAAGAAATTTGGCTGTGAAATGGAATTTGAAGAGATCAAGATCAGTTGTAAAACTGGAGAAGCAAACAAGTGAGCGAGTTTGCACAAATGTTGGCAATTTCCGATGGAGTCCTCTATTACCCGCCCACAGTCCCATCCCAAGCCACCCTTGCAGAAGAGCCAATTCATGGCACTGGATGTGGCCACATTGCTCTTGGCTACAAAGGCAGGTCAGTTACTGAAATGTTCAAAGGGCCTCACTATCAGACAATTCCATCTATTAGATCAGGGGCCCCCAACCTCTGGGCCACAGGCTGACAGTGGCCGGGGCCTGATAGGAGCCGGGCTGCACAGCAGGAGGTGAGCTTGAACGTAACGTGCCTGAGTCATCCCGAAATCATCCCCCGCACTCCAACCCATGGAAAAACTGCGTTCCACAAAACTGGTCCTTGGTGTCAGAAAGGCTGGGGACTACTGCATTAGATGATCCCTAGCATGGCCCTCTGACAGACCAATATGTTAAGATTCTGGCCCTGGCTGGTGTGGCTCAGTGGACTGAGTGCCAGCCTGTGAACCAAAGGGTCCCCGGTTCAATTCCCAGTCAGGGTGCATGCCTGGGTTGTGGGCCGGGTCCCCAGTAAGGGGCACGCAAGGGGCAATCACACACTGATGTTTCCCTTCCTCTCTTTCTCCTTCCTGTCCCCTCTCTCTAAAAATAAAAAATAAAATCCTTAAAAAAAAAAGATTCCAGGTATATCGGCTATAGTGCCATTTGTTACCTAATGCTTTAGGCCAGTTCCCCTGGCCTTTCCACACCCCCACACAAACATCACAAACATCTTCACATTTGAGGGCAAAATCCTTGGAGGCAGGTCTTATCATTCCCACTGAACAGCTGAGAGGATTGCAGTTTGCAAAGGTTAAGAGGACAGCTCACCCAGGAATCAGGAATTATGAGCTAAGGACGCAACTGGGATTAGAATTTTAGCCAGAGCTTTTCATCCAGCTTTCCCATACCACTGGTGAATATATATTTTTTACATTTACAAGTGGTTAAAGCTTTGAGAAATGCCTAATTTTTGCTTGTCCATCTGCTTTTCAACAGGCCCACAGATTTGACCACAGTTCTTATATCTTGATGGAAAACTTAGAAACTTCCCCTTCGATTAACATACGAACTTCCCCCAGGGTCTGACCGCCTGGACACCCAGCTCCATTTTATTGTACCACGACTTTGTCAAATGGAACTGAAGCCCCACCGTCCTCTGGTGATACTTCCGTCCTGGACACTGAGTGATAAGGTTTCCACATTCTCCAACTCTGTTTTTCTATCCCAACTTCCTAGTCTCGTAAGTTGGCTTCTATGGGACGACAAATGCCACACTTACCAGGAGCGACAAAGTAGACAGGGTCAGATCGTCGGGCAGAGCTGAACACGTCCCGGTGGCGCTGGGACCAGTGGAGCTTTGCAGGAGACCCGTTTCTTTGGACAGCCTTCCAGCCGTCGGCATCTGGAAGACAGAAAAAACCCCTCTGCATCAGGGTGAGCCATCTATTGAGATAAACAAGGCAACACTTGCTCGCCAAAACGTCCTAGTGGTGAACGGGGTTTTCTTAGTATTTCCACACTTATGTGCAGTCCTCAAAACTCCCCAGGCACCTCTCTGCTTGGGTCTCAACTTTACCTGCCCTCACCCCACAGCTGCTTTGACTTCTTGTCTTTGAATCTCTTGTAAGAAGAGAGCACGTTTTCATCTGCCTGTACATTGCAATCTTATTTTATTTACATTAACAGTGTCTGGCCTTAGTGAGGTAAGAGGGTCCAGTACATTCAAAGAGAAATTCAGAGTTGGAATCATCAATTTCCCATGTTTTTATGGTGCTTTGTAGCTTGGGAACTAATTTCATATAAATTAACTCATTTAACGTATGTGAAAACAGTATTGTTAGTGAATGTGAATTCCAGGAAGACATTCATAACCGCCCTTCCCCATCCAATGAATGAATCTTTGTGGTTTTGAAACAGATGGAGATGGGAAACTCAGGGAAATGAAAACCTGGTCTTTTTTTAGTTATTCTCTTAAGGTATTCATACACTAATATGAGTAAACTGTCAACTCTAACTTTCTCAAGACCCCAGAGTCTACGGTATTGCTCCGTAAAAATAATGCACATGAAAAGCTAGATGCCTTGAGAATCCCATCCTGGGGATGGCGAGACGTAGGCACAAAAAGCTCTATACAATGTCAAAAACAAGAACTCTAGAAAACAGAATACTTCACCTTGATGGAAGTTGGAGGTGATCTTATGGACACTGTAGTCCCCAGAGCTGTGGCAGCTAGCAGAATGCCCGTAGCAAAAACACTGGGTACAGCCCTCAGGGTTTCCCCCATCCAGGTGATAGTAGCCTGGTCGGCACCTGCAGAGGTGTTTTAGAAATCAGGCCAATATTACAGGTTGTTTCTTACTCCATATAGAGAATATGATGACTGATCATATTCTCCACTTTCTCTCCCACCGGCCCTGTTCATTCCCACTGAGTTGCACCTGCCACCCCCGCTCCCAGACCACCGGGGACACCCCAGCGCCCCAGTGACAGAGCATGAGGAGCATGCACCTTCTCTCCCTCTGCTGCACCAGAATCATGTTTGAATTGGTGGTTTGGAAACTGAGTGATTTTCCCCATTCGTGGTGAGGAACCGAGTGGAGGTCACAGGGACAACGGGGTGGGGGAGAGCAGGGCTCTGCAGAGCTGGCCCGCCCTGGTGAAAGGGCTTAATGGGTACAAAAGGGCGGGAAGTGGGCGGCCAGGGAAGGAAAGCAAATGCTCCAGTCCCAGCACCCACTCCGCTGTGCTGACCCCCACCGCCACCAGACCACTAGGTGTTGCCTGTCACCTCTGCTTCTTGTACCAGGGCTCTGGCCCACCCAGGAGAGGGGCAGGTGAGAACATGACAAAGGGTGGCTAGAGGCTCTCTCCAAAAGCAAAGTGTAGGCTGGAGTTCCACCCCTCTCCCGGCCTGAGCCGCCAGACAAGTCCCAGATGTCGGGGTCACAGAGAAGAGGGCAGGGGAAGCTAGGGAGGGATTGTTTTTTGCTCTGTTCAAGTTTACGACATCCTTCCTGAAAGAATGATAGTTTCAAGTATCATTTATTTTAGCACTTAAAGGATACACCCGGCGCCAAATGTGTGCTCTCCCATTTAACCCTCATGACACCCCTACAAGACAGGAATTGTTATTTCCAATTTTCTTGGAGGAGGAGACCCAGGGAGGTGATGAAGCTATGACGCTTGCTGAAGGTCATTCAGCTGGTCAGTGGCTGAGGTAATATTCAAACTCAAGTACATCTGTTTCTAAACCATGCGGTCTAACCACTGGACCACAGATGGGAGTGCGCATTGTGCAAAATCACAGTAAAGTGAGTCAGCTGCGAAGCTTTAGAGAACAGCTGTCACTGAATAGGCATGTTTTTTTTTCCTCTATGGGTTTAAAAAATCATTATGGTTTCTACGGAGGAAACCTGTAGATTAAAAGAGAGAAAGAAAGAAAGAAAAGAAAGAAAGAAGGAAAGACAGAAAGAAAGAAAGACAGAAAGAAGGAAGGAAGGAAAGACAGAAAGAAAGAAGGAAAGAAAGAAAGAAAGAAAGAAAGAAAGAAAGAAAGAAAGAAAGAAAGAAAGAAAGAAAGAAAGAAAAGAAAGAAAGAAAAAGAAAGAAAGAAGGAAGGAAAGACAGAAAGAAAGGTGAAGGGTCCAGAAAGGCGAAGAGGGCATGGGAAAGGAAGGGAGAGCAGGGGAGGAAAGTGAAGAGAATCAGGCAAAACTAAACACCCGTGTTTGTAGGGATGCTCTTGCATAAGAAATGATGAAGAAAGGCAAGGATCCAGGACCTAGAAGTCAGAATTGTGGTTGCTTCTAGGAGGGAGGGAGGGTGCTGTTGGGACAGCACACGTTTAGCAAAGGTCTATTTTGTATAATTGGTGGTGCTGGCAACACTGGTTTCATGCGGCTTTTTACGTCTCTGTTAGATTTTGAAATGAAAAACGTTGTCAAAAAGTGACTCCTCTTTTAATCCTGAGGCTGTTTCCCCACCCCGACCTCAGTAGCTCAGAATGTGTCTGGTGTTGCCCCTGCCCAGGTAGAAGTGATTTGGCAGGATGCCAAAGAACTGCTTTCTTGCTTGTAAGGAAGCAAGGAGGAAGCCTTTACCTCTGGAGCCAAGCCGCAGCCCTCTGCCCGCAACCGTCCTAGGGGCAGGCTGAGGTTTGAGTCTGAGCAGTTAGTATGGGAGGAATGTCCTATGGCAGCAGCTGAGGGTGGGTCTCTGCTCCCGGGGCCACCTGCCCAGGCTTGGCCTGGGGCCCAGCGGGCTCTCACGTCTCCCTTGTTCGTGTGCATGCACGCAGCCACCATGCCATCATTGGGTGGTTCCCTTTCTGCACACGATGGTTAAATATGGCCATGCGTGGCGATATTCCCTCGTACGGGCATTTTCCCCAACATGTTTAATTAGGTCAGGACTTTCCTGGCAGCAAGCGGAGTCACGTGACCCCATCTTTGCACACCACCTGGCATCTGAGCACCTGGATTTGGAGCCAGCTGGCGAGCGGACTCCCCGGGGTCCTGTGCCTCTACACTGGCGCAAACGAAGAGAAGGGGCCACAGCAGAAGCGTGGAGCCCAGTGAGATTTGGGGACTCAGTTGTATTTTTTTTTAAAGCATAGTTTTTGAGGGCAGAGGGCAAGAAGTTCATGCACTAGGGGGCGATTGAAGCTAGTGGCCCAAGGGGATCTCCCTGCGGAGTCCGCAGGGCCACAGTTCACACAGACCTATCACAGCGCTCTCCCGTGACAGCTGGCTTGCAGACACAGCGGCCCGCATCACAAGGTCCTGAGATGCCAGCTGGGTCACAGTCACACTTGGGGTCTCTGGGAAAGAAAGAAACAAAAGTTAGGAATGTTTCCAAATGCTTTGCAACTATCCACATAAAGATCAAGTGCTCATAAGCAAATGTCACCAAACTTGAGCAAATCTTTCACCTTCAATGAGGTCTTTCTTAGCTGTCCTTGTCATGCTCGTGCCTCTCCGACCCTTTAAGGACCCATCTGTCTATGCTGGTGCTACTCTTAGTGTAATCTGGGGTGGCAGCCAGTCCATGAACTGTTTGCTACCTACCCCTAAAGAGAGGAGGGGCTTTATGCCGGAATGGAATGGAAACCAAGTTCATCACTGAGCTATTCAGTTTGGTTCAGTTGACATTTAAAAAAAAATTTATCCTTTGTTTTTCTATTGTTTAATTCAATGATGTCTGCTTTCATGATGACCACTCTCATCTACTTGCTATTTTAGTTCATTCAGATCTTTCATTTGGTAACACTTTTGTACAGCTATAATTCCCATGCTATGTGACTCACTCATTTTAAATGTACAGTCTAATGTTTTTTGGTAGATTCTCAAAGTTAACAGTCATCACCACAACTTTAAAATCTCTTCATCACTCCACAAGGAAGCCCTGTACCCTTCAGCAAGCCCCCCCCCACACACATCTTACCCCTGGCCCTGGGCAGCTGCTAATCAGCTGCCTGCCTCTGTGGATGTGCCTATTCTGTACATTTCCTGTAAATGGAATCATACGGTGTGTGGCCTTTTGTGCCTGGCTTCTTTCACTTACTATGCTTTTGAGGTTCATCCATGTCTGTACTTCATTCTTTTTATGGCTGAATAAAATCCTATCATGTGGGCACGCTGTATTTTGTTTATCCACTCATTGGCTGATGGAGGCTTAGGTTGTTTCCACTTTTTAGCTATTATGAATAATGGAGCTATGACCATTTGCGTACAAGTTTCTGAGCAGATATATGTTTTCATATCTCATGAGTGCAATTGTTGAGTTTGGCTCATTTGAGGGGACAAGACTTTCTCAATAAAGTCTTTCCTTATAGATGTTGGCACAATCTCCTTGTCTTGTGCAGACCAGTGACTACCAATGAGGGCCCAGTCTCTGGCTCAAAGCTCTGGTCTCTGTCACTCAGTTTGGAACACAGTCATGTGTATTTATCTCATGGGTCCAAAACCAACTGTGTCCTCTTTTCTCTTCTGATCTGCTCCTCCTCTGACTGCCTTATGACCCCATCCAAATCCTGCCCAAACCTGAATTTGAATTTGACTTCTCCCTCTCCCTTACATTCCTCGTCCAATGGATGCCAAGTCCTGTCAGGCTTCTTGAAGCTTTTGTTCCCAATCTTCGCCTTTCGATTCCCATGGTCTCCTCCCTGCCTTAGCCCCTCCCCACTACTTATCTAGACTCCTTGACAACTATTATATGGTACCAGGTCTACTGGTTGCTAAGCACTGGGGATACTAAGACATGGGAAATAGCCATGTTGTCTGGGAGTCTCAGATGGGGCAGATACGAGGACAGCAATGACAATAAAGCAGATGACAGCTGTAGCCGAGCTGGGACATCCTCTCCGCGCCTCCTCCCAGAGGGCCACAGCAGTGAACAAGACAAAGCCATAATGGCGCTCAGATTCTAGTGGGTGGGACAGACAGGCAAGTAGATATAGAAAATAAGAGACCTGAAGTAAAACAACAGTCAGAACATGGCGGGGTCCGAGAGGGCCTTGTGGGGAGATGGGTGCAGCAGGCATGGAGCCCCAGGAAGCTCTGTGTGGCTGTGGGGGCAGGCACAGCGCTCTAGGCCAAGGGCCAGGTCACATATTCTTGGCTCCTTCGGAGGAGGGAAGGGAGGCCGCTGTGGCTGGAGTGCAGGGAGCGCGAGGGAGGGTGGAGAGAAGTCGGGCGGAGGGGAGCCTACGGAGGGTGGGGAGGCTGGCGGGACCTCGCAAGGCCCCACTGGCCGCAGCGAGAAGCCGAGACTCATTCTTAGTGGGAAAGGGAGCTAACAGAGGCTTCAAGCGGAGAAGCGATATGATCTACTTCATGTTTTAAAAAGGTTGCAAAACGGAGACTGGGTTCAGGGACAGGTCTCTGAAGAGAATTAAAAAGCGGGCAGGGAGACCGGAAGAGGACAATCTATGCAAAGGCCCAGAGGGTAAGAGAATTCGGGACACTGATGACTGCACGGCAGACCACGCGTGGCTGGAGGGCTGCTCTCCTGTGACACGAAGCTGGAAAAGTGGGCAGCGGGACGCGAGTCCTCCGCGGAGGGCCTCTGGCTACCGGCTTCGCTGCCACGCTCCCCCTCCCCTGGGCCGTGCCAGCGCCCGCAGCCCTACATCCCTGTGGGCTGGTTTTGTGATTTACAACGCAGGCTCCACCCTCTTCCAGAAAGGAATGTGAGGAGGGACAGAAGCTGCTTCGGACTAACAGGGATTGAGGTGATACACGAAAGCCCTCTACTCCTAGCTCATTTGGGTTACAATGGGCCCCAGGTAAAGATTATAAGACTCTCTACCTCCATCTTTGTGCATCTAAAGCGGAGGCCATTGTCAAGGTTAAGAACATGGGTTCCTGAACAAAGGCTGTGGGCCTGACTATTACATCCACTTTCACTAGTAACATTGGACACCTTAGTTGACCTCTCATGGTATGAGTTTCTTATCTTTAACATGAGTGTCATGGTATTCCCGGCCTCTTAGGGTTATTGTGAGAGTTAAATGAGATGGCCCTCATGAAGTTCTCAAAGCAGTGTTTGGCACACAGTAGGTGCTCAGGAACTCTAAGTGGTCACAGCTATTGATATAATTGGCATTATGCTCGGCGGAGACGGCAGTGGTGGGCGCGGTGCTTACAGTAGCCTTTGGTCTTGGGTGCACCCAGCATCCGTGAGTGTGTGGAAGCCTGGCAGACATCGGTCACACCTGTCTCCTGTCACACCTGGCTTACAGCTGCACCGTCCAGAGTTGTCACACCGAGCGCTAAGAGAACCTGCAACCGAAAAGGTAGGGGAAAGGAAAGAAAAAAAGGAAACATGTCACTTATACGGTGTTAGGAAGCAACAGTCACCCTACGGGTGACGATAAATACTAAGGAATAACCACCACCTGCTGCCTCCAGCAATTCTTACATCGTGTGGGTTTGCATCTGCCCAGCAGAGCCATTCCAATGGCCAAAGTTGTCTTCTTCTGGGAAAGGGATGGAAATCGCTCCTGGAAGCATTTCAGTGTGTATGCCTCCCTCCTTTCAACATTCAGTAGTGTGTAAGCCACTGCTTCTTCAAAGAAGTTTGTCAAGGGGAACACTTGGGAGTGGGCATCAGCCTTCTGGGAGAAGCAGGCATGAGACAGTGAGCCACAGCCTCCCATCTCCCTGGCAGGCAAAAGCCATCTGTGAAGGGTTAGTGTCGGAATGGTGTGATTTTTGTTGAAGGGGACAAAAAGGCCTCTTAACCTGGAGGGGTAGCGATTTTTGTCCCTGGAGCATCACTCCTTGTGAGCAATGAGGAGAATGTGCCTCTTCTCCCGTTTGGTGCACCAGAGCACTTGCCCTGTGATTGATCTTCTATAGACCTGTTCTTCCTTGTAAAGGAGTCCTCGCAGGTGGAGTGTTGATGAAAGACAAGCGGTGCTCACGACAACGAGACGTGCCTCTCTGGAACCGACCACCCGCCCTTCCGCCACCCCGGTTCTCCTGGAACCCCCTTGCCCTCACCTCCCTGCCTCCCTATGTGCCAGCCTCTATGTAGAAGCCAGAGGGCTCATTTTAAAATGAAATTCAGATCATATCATTCATCTAAGTCCTCTGGTGGCTTCCCACTAGGAGCAGAATAAAATGCAAACTCTATCGTGGCCCATAAGCCTCAACCTCTCTTACCTCATCCCCTCCCCTCCTTCAGGAAGTTCCAGCCCCCAAGCTCTTCACACTGCTCCCAGAAGGTGCTGAACTGCTTCCCTCCCCAGGGCCTTCGCACCTGCTGCTCCCTGCCCCGGGAATGCTCCTGCCCCGGAACTTCCTAAGCGGGCTCCCTCTGCACTCAGGGCTTGATTAAATATGACTTCTCTGGAGAAGCCTTCTCTGACTCTCATATCTACACCATACCTCCCACCCCTACCGGGGCCCTAGCCCTGCTTACTTATGGCCTCAGCTCACGTTCCCCGCTGGGTCTCCAGCACTCAGCACAGCGCCCAGCACAAAGAAGAGGCCTAGCAATTCACTGCATCAATGCACAGAAGCCCAGAAAGGGACAGGGATGTTGTGAAAGGACCGAGGAAGGAGCCACACGACGAGGTGGAGGTTGGCTAGAGGTATGCCTCGCCTACTTTATTTAATTTTCCTGCGGCTGGCAGAGTCATAAAACAATCTGTATGTCCCCACTGTGATAACTAGGCTGTTCATTCTCTGAACAGCCGATAGAACACTAACAAGAAAAATCTGTTATCCTTCTGTGACCTTTTAATTCAAATCTATAAAGGTATTGGCTCTGTGCCCATGTAAAGGCTTTTATGGCACACGTGGAACATGAAATGAATTAGTCCCATTCACAGAGTCTGTGAAAGACTCCAGGTCAACTTTGGAAGGCATAGGGGGCCTCCGTGATAATAGTCTAAAGTGCATTTTTTGAGGACCTACGACATCTGAGACCCTGAGTTAGGTGCTTTGTATGTATTAGCTCATGCTAGCTACCACTGACATTGACGTTATGTGATAATTAAACACCGACAGAAGGACAAGAGATCCATTTGTGGGTGATAGGGAACTCTCCGAGGTTCAGGAACCGTCAGACCCGTGGTTCAGAAAGACAACCCTAGAGCCACCTGCAGGATGGTGCGGGGTGGGTCAGGCCAGCAGCCTCCCATGAAAGGAATTCTCCGAGGCAGAATGGCCAGGAGTAGAGGAGGCAGCAGAGGACGGGAGAAAGGAAACCTTGGGAGAGCCACTGTGGGTGCAGAATGAGCAGACTTTGGTGACTTCTGGGAAATGAGTGATGGGGGGCAGGGGTCACGTGGGTGACGCCAAGGGCTTGGAGGGCACAATGAGATGGAATGGGGTGCTCTTTACCGAAGGGAAGGGAGGAGCAGGGTCTGGGGTTGAATCGCCCTGAGGAGACACTGAGTGTAGTTTAGACACCATGAACTTGAGTTTCTGGTGGCACAGTAGGTGGAAATGTCGGTCTGGAACTCAAGAGAGAGGCCCGAGGTGAAGTTTTCAGGGTGAATAAGGAAGGAGAAGCTTGCTCTGGATAGAGAAGGCAGGGTGTGTGCCTGGCACAGAAACGAAGTCCCAGGGATTGAGGGAAGGCGTGATCAGAGAGGGAAGAAGCCTCAGAACAGTAGAGGCCAAGCGGGGAGAGCTTCGAAGGAGAGTTAAAGGAGGAGGAGGAGGGTGGAACAGTTTTCAGGATCTAAGACGAGAGGACATTTAACAAGAGGAGAATGGAGAGAAGCTGCTTGTTGGGTTTGGCATTTAGAGGTGGCCATGCTCACTCACTGTTCTATAAACAGCGAACAGCTAAAAAGGAAAAATGTTTAGAATGGTACTACGATAAGTAACATTCAGTAGAAGAAATAGTTCCTTAATACAATTTAGTTGTTTTTAACGGAAATGGATGTCGATCTGGGACTGAGAAACATATTTTTTTCCCCATGGAAATTACGCTTTTGACTTAAGAAAACTCCCTCTGCAGTCTTTCAGAAGTGAATTATGCTTATAGGATGAAGAAGATGGCATTTTGCTTTTGGGTTTGGCCCAAATAGCCCCAAATGGTACTCTATAAAACATCCTTCTGAAGGTTATTTACAGTCATCTCATGAAAATAGACATTCCATGTTCAAAAGAGTTTGGGGAATGGTACATACTAAATCTTTCAAAGGTTTATCACATAGTTGTACAGTCAGTAGGCACGAAGCTTCAATTTTGAATGCCCAAACATTATCTGACATTCTTACAGTAAACACCTATTATTACCTTGAGGAACACAGAGTATCTTGGGATGCTGTCTAGAGAATACAGCTCTGGAAGCTGGGGGGTCACAGAAAGAGCCCAGGCTTTGAAGTCTGACATGTCTCACTTCAAATAGCAGCTCTGCCACTTATTTGCTTGTGTCCTTGGGCAAACTGCTCATTCATCACTTCTTTGAAGAGGGGATAACAACCTATGCCTTATAGAGCTATTGTAAACCTTTGAGCTAAAATGTATAGAGCGCCTAATTCAGGATCTCATGCATAGCAGATGCTCAAGAAATGTAGCTTCTACATTATCTCTAGGCCTCCCTGAAGCCTTGCAAAGCACACCGGCTTTGCAGTGAACATGACTACTTCATTTCATGTACTAAAACTTCCGAAATAACAGCACTGGGCTTTCCAAGTGTCTCACTAATATAAAAACACCTGTCCCAATTCCTACATCACGAGGGGGCTGTGAACAGCTGGCTTTTAAGAACAGATGAGAAAAGCTTCCTGCTTTAAGTCTCTGATCCAATGAGCACTTTCAGGGTTTATGTACATATAGTCTACATGCATTTGAGGACTCAGGAAGTATTCTAAAATGATTAACCTGTAAAATTTATACTGAGAGAGCATACTTCCTCTAGAGAACCCTATATGTATAAACATATACTTATATTTTACAATAACATGACTATCATTGAATCATTATATTTAATAATAATGAAATAATTATTATTTAGGACACATTTTAAAGAATAACTCAAATGTTAGAGTCTGAGTACCTGACTGTCAGGGTCATAGATATGTAAAAAAAATAATAAAATTAAGAGAACAAATCCACTATCATTGATGTCCGCACAGATCTCAAGAATGTAGGTGTCGTGGGAGAAAGAAATACATACACACACACAGTGAATTTCAGAGCGGTGGCGAAAAGGTATCAGGGCTTATACATGTGGTTACAAGAATTGAAGATAGCTCAGTCTTGTTGCTGAGCCCACAAAGTCATCACATAAAAATGAGTCTAGTTGTGCTGTGTTTGAGAAATTGATATGAAATCCACAGCTGTGACCACCCCCGGGATTATGAATGCTATTGGCTTCACTTGCCATTCACGGAGTGATAGCATTTTGGAGTAAGAGGTACTTTCCTGTATTTGAAATTGAATGTACAATCATTTCCGCTGGAAAGTTATCATTTGAAAGTGAAAAGTATCCTCTGGTTGATGAGGAGACAGAAATTACATTGGGAATTGATCTTGTGCCACTGGTCTAGTGACCTATGCAGCCCGTGTGCAGCTGGACACGACACTCGGGCGGGGGGACAGTCTCGGTCACCAACACGCCACTCGGGCCGGGCAGCGCGGGCCCTAGGGCTAGTCTCCTCATCTTGGCAGTGCTGGCGGAGCGTGTTAACATGCACAGAAGGAAGACATAGTACGCAAAAGGGTTCTGGAAAACTATAAAGCACAACCCAGATCTTAGGGGTAATAGCCACAACGTTTTTCTGGACATCTAATTATCTGCTGTTGGAGATAAAGGACACCATTCTGATTTTTTTTTCCACATGGAGGGAATAAAAGGGAATAGTTCTTGATTGGAACAGCTGCATTACAACTTTAGCTCTCGTAATCGCTTGCTGGGAGATTTTAGGCCATGCACTAGCTCTGTCAAAAAGGTTTGAAAAATTCACTGCCAATTTCAGGATGGTTCGTGATAAAACGTTAATAAATAGTTTAATTAAGGCTTCTTCCTAAGCTGGTGTGTAATTTTTTTTTTCTAAGCCAGCATTCCAGAGGATTGAGACCCTGACCTCTGTCCTAATAAGAAAAACAATGACATGGCTTTTCCAAGTTGCCTCTCGTGTGCTTAACAAACATCATTTTATCCTTACATGATGCTGTGACATAAATAGCATGAAGGCCCTTTTACAGATGAGGACACGGGGAGAGCGGAGCTTCAAGAGCAAACCCAGAGTGACACAGCGGCGGTGGCAGTGCCAAGACTTGACCCCGGGCCGTCTGGCTCCAGAAACCAACCCCTGTACCCAACATTACGATCTTCAATCGGCACACCTGAGGCTGGAACCCACACAGCTCTACAACCTTATATGAGTCTCCTGCCTCCCTCTCTAAGCCTCTGCTACCTCATTTGTAAAATGGAAATGATAATAGCACCCTCTTCATAAGGCTATTTATGGAGATTAAATTAATTGCTGGATGAAAGCACCTAGCAAAGTGCCTGGCACTCGCTTCCTCTGAGAGTGACGCACAGTAGCTACCACACAAGATGTAAGTCATCGCGGGGACCTCACTGAGCCCGGGGTGGCTGTTCCCCAAAGGAAAAGAGAGAGCCAGGCTCACTGCTGCTGGATGGGTGACGGACTACAAGCCCATTACCCTCTCCCTTCGCTCGGCGACAGGCTCCGTGTCCTCTTGGAGACTACTGGCCGTCCTAGGCCAGGCTTTCCAGGTGAGCCAAGTACATTTCTAATTATACTCTTACCCATCGCTTTGCTGGGAGGACCCGGCTCCCACGACTCACAGTGAAGCCACATAGCCTCAGGGGATGTAGGCTCTTCAGGGGGGTTAAATGCCCATTAAAATGGAATGGTTTTTCTTTTGGTTTTTCTTTACAAAATCCTTTAGGAGAACTGCTAAATCCCAAAGGTTCTGGATGCTGATTCTACACCACAAAGTGCAGCAAAGCTGACTCAAACCACATCCTAACAGCAACTCTGGTGGTTTGGAGGTGGTTCCTGGGATGTGGGTCTATATGACAACAGGGTCACCCCAGTTTTCTGTGAGACTCTCCAACATACTCCATCAGCCACGCCTCGTGGAACCAAAGTCTGCTTCTTTCAGATGCTTCCAGCTGCTGCTAGGAATTGGCTCCACAGAGCGGCTGAGTCACTGCCCTGCACTAGGTTGTGAATGCCTTTAGGTGGGTTCGTGTTTATCATACGATGCTGTTCAACACTTTCTAGCAAAGAGGTGAAACAGGTGCTGCTAAGATGATAGACAATAAAGTCATTTAAAAATAAGAAACCCAACTTATTTAACAAAACTACCTACCTCTCCCTCTTTATTTTTCCTAACTTGTCTTTACTGTCTGCCTGCCATGAATCGAGTATGTTGTATGTAATACTACCTACAGCTTTACAAATACGGCACTGGGTGATACATTTTAGAAAACAAAAACAACAAAGAAGAGCCCTTCTATGAACCAGCTACAGTGGTAGGTGCTTCCTGTTTGTTAATTCTACCTTTTCTTGTTAACAACCTTGTGAAAGACACTAATCTGCCTATTTATTTTTCTGTCTTTTCTATTAGTACCACTCTATATCCCTAGCACTTAGCATAGTACCAGGAACATGTCTTTCTAATCCCTTACTTTCTGAGAGGGTGGACAAAGGATGGTTGTAGATACGAGGAGCTATGAAGACTGCAAGCTTCCTTTGTCCCTGGTCAAAGACTGTCACCTGCCAGGACAAGTAATCCTGTGTTTCCTGGCGCTAGAATTCAAACCAACGTGCCCTAAAGACACCAGCTGGTTCCTGCAATCCAGACTTGAGAAAAACACATTTGTTTTCAGATTGTCCTAGTGTCCGGTTGTCCTAGAAGTTGAAAGCCTCTCTCTTGGCCTGTTTGCTTCTTCCTCCCTCCCTCTCTTCCTCCCCTCGCCGTCTCCCTCTTCCTCTGCCCTTTCCCCAGCTACCTTTGGAGTTACAGTTGCAGGGTAAACAGCGGTCTCTTTCTCTCTGCCGGTAGAACCCCTCCTTGCAGCGCTCGCAGTGGATGCCAGCAGTGTTGTCGCTGCAGTGGAGGCAGCGGAACCCGTTCCCGATCCGCCTGTGAAGTTCCTGATCGAAGATGCATTGCTGGGACTTCCCGTTGCAATCACAGACTGGGAAATCAGGAAAAGAGAACCAGCGTTAGCAAACAACAGAGACAATTCTCGCATGCGCTGTATTCTTATTAGTGCAGGTTGTGCATGGGGTCTACAGCTTAGTTCCAGCTACTTCATGGAGTAAGAGAATATGCGTGAAGGGGGCCAGGTGTGGGTAAGTTCCTGCTTCGCCTGAAGGACGCAGCCGTTGTGTGGTGCTGGCGGGGTGCTTCCTGGGAAAACAGGAGCCCAGGGTTACCCACCATCCAAGTCCTCAAAGGTCCTATATCATGTGTTTTTATGAGAAAATTCCAGGGTTAAGTATTTTCAAGTAACTCACTTTTAAAGCCCCATTTGACACTATAGGAAAAGTCTACAGGCTGGTGGCCTAACAGCCGCTGGTGTCACCTGTTCAAGACACACAATATCTGTTCCTCCAGGGACGGTCAAGGCTGAGGAGCTAATATGACTGTTTGGACAGGTATCTCCTGCCCCACCCGCTGTGCCTTGCGTGATCCTCCCAAAGCCAGGTAACAGAGAGAACCATAGCCCCAAAAAGAAAAGCCTTTCCCAAGTGTCCAGGGAAGCTTATCCTGTGGACGTTCCAAAGAGACTCATGGAGTGACATCTCTATGCAGGACCAAAACAGCTCATGAGGTACTTATTGGAGGAAATACTTAGCATAGTACCTGGCACACAGCAGACACTCAAAAAATGTTGCAGTCACCATATAGAAGTGAAAGGTGATGGGCTTTGCAGTTAAAAGAGTTGGATCAAATACCAGTTCTGCCAGTTTCTTGGGCAAATCGCTTGAACTCTCTGGCTCTTCTCTTATGAACGTATATGCATTATCCGCCTCCCTGGATTGGTGAGCGAGTCTCACCAAGAAAAGAATGGAGTCCTTCTCTTTCGCCTCAGCCATTTTATCCCTCACTCACAAGAGACAGATGAGAAAAACACAGCTCTGAAAGTTTAAGTAACCTGACCCAGTGGAGAGCTGGGATTTGAACCTGTCTGATGCCAAAACTCACTTTCCTTCTACCAGACACACTGGGTCTCTTGGCCATGCAACCCTAAGGAGAGCCTGTTTCTAGAAGTGCCTAGGGCCATGACTTACCAGAGCACTGACAATAACGGCAACAAATGTGCCAAGACGCGCTGAGCAGCTGCCGCTGCAAGCTGAGTCAGGCCCCGGACACAAAGGTGACTCAGCAAATCTTACGTGCTTCCTAAGTGAGTTCCTTATAACAGCTCCCGCTACTCTCTCGGGCTACTTTGGATGCCATCTAATCTAGGGAAAGTCAACTGACATCTACCAGAGCCCACCCTGTTTCTAGGACTTTACGTTCATTGGTTCACAGTAACACTTCAATGTGAGTTTCATTATCCCTATTGAACAGAAGAAGGAACAAATGCTCAGAGAGGGCCGTTATCTCGCTCAAAGTCCCAGAGCTAAATGGGCAAAGATTGCTCCTAGGTCTGCCCCACCACAGAGCCCTTGCCTTTCTACTTGACCCCCACTTTTCAAGAAGCTGGTCTACCATGGAATGCAGGCTTTCCTTTTATAAAGCCAGCCCCTTCTCGAACCCTCTCCAATCTAGTGTGATCTCCTCCTTAGACAGTACTGGTTGGTATACATTTTTTTATGGAGTTTTAAATCCTCTCCCTCCCTGTGATTTATACCATGTGTTCTTCTTCTTCCCTGGAAAACCACACACACACACACACACACCCCTACTCTCTTCTTCATTTATTTATTTATTCCTCAGACATTTATTTTAGAGGTTGTTCTGCAAGGCACAGCGTCGGCCAGCCCCTTGAACACCTGAAGATAGTAGCTGAAGCACCACCCTCCCTCATCTTCTCTTCCTCAGGTTAAACTGGAGATTATCATCTCCAAGACCTTCAATCATTTCCCATGTCATGATTTCTAGATTCTTCCTGACTACCCTTCTAGGAACAGACTCTAATTTTCAATATGTTTCTCCAAATGACCAGGATTAATTACAGTACTTCAAGTGTGGTTTGACCAGCTCAGCTTCCAACAAGACTAGTTATTACAATTCTGTGGGTGCAGCCTGACATTTCATTAAACTTACTGCCTATTAAGTTTGCACTCAATTCAGGCTCCCAGGGCTTTCCACAGAACTGGCACCGAGGCGAACCTTTCCCTATGAATGCTTGTGTAACTCATTTTGTGGATCTCGAACAGATGTGCCACACAGCTGTCATGTGCTGCGAAGTGTCTACCAAGTACGTCATTAGGCACAGACAAGAGCTAGATTCACCAGCCAACGATCCTTGGGTGATTACTCAGCTAAATCACAGGCACCCAGTGCTCCTATATTGCCCTGCATACCTTTGGGGAGCAACCTCAAACTAATTACAAACTTTTCATTGTGCCTTCTTATTCAGAACAAACTTGTTGCTGGTAATAGTTAACTTCATAAGCACAGCTCATGATATGTTTAATTAGAGCAATATTTAAAAAAAATAGAAAACCTTACTGTTATCTTTTTTTTTAACCACCTCCCTCTCCTACTGTCCAAGCGCTGTTCCAAAAGAACTGCGTTCTTCCTTTACATTCACAGCCTTCCTTGGAGATGCATTACAGCTCCTGCAAAGTAGGTCCTCAGCCAGCATCTCCACTCTGGAACTTGCCCAGCAGGTTGCAGACCAATTGCCAATCTACCCTCCTCTCTCTCAGTGGGTCTCGGTTCAAGCCCAGGGGTATGCTGGCTGGGGTGAGAGAAGCCACGGGCCGCAGGTCTGGGGAGAGCACTGTTCCCCTGGGTCTGCCTCACGTGATGATTCCATGAAGACACTCCCTAAAGCCATGTCGGCGGGACTTGGAAATTAGCAAGCTGTGCTGAGCTCAGCACTTAGCTGCACTGCACTTGGCTCAATACTGAGTCTTCTGAACACTCACACCAGAGAAGGACAGGACAGAGTTTGCCCTTTTGCTCAGAATGACACTTTTTGTCACTGATGCATTTGAAACATGGCCTCTCTCTCAAGTCATCTCCCTAATTTAGACTAACTTCCCTAAAACCAATTATTACTCAGTCTTATTACGGAGAAAAAAATCTGTGTTTTTCAAATTCCAGACTATTCCTGTAACTGGGCTTTTCAAAATGGGCCTCCCACAGCTTGTGCCTGGTCTTTCTTCCTCTGCGACCAGTTCCTGCCCAGACACTGCCATGGGCACACGGGTTGACGAAGGGCGCTGTCAGGCAGGGCATAAGGCAACAGGGAGCAGTTGGGGCTCTGCCAAAAGGGCTAACGGGAGAAGCGGCATGTCACTCCCGGCCAGTCTTGCCACACAGAAAATGACGGCCCCCTGCAGTCAGCATTTCCACTTGGGTTTTCAAAGAAGGCAGAAGTCTGGCTTTGTGTATGACATGCACTGGTTTTTAAACGTTGGCAACAAGTATTTTTTAAAATGTACTTTTGAAACGAAGCTGGGCCAATCTTTGCACTTGACTGTGCTCTTTAAACAGGCAGAAAGTTCTCCCATGGTTTAAAAAAAGGAAAAATGAAGCCCCAGTTTATGGCACAGTGTCTGGGTCCATAGCAGGAAGTTAATGCTTTTTAATGGACAAATGAATCCATGTTCTCTTAAACTTCAGGAAACTCCTAGATGTGCTTCTACCATTCAAAGGGCCCCATAAGTTGCCGTACGTCTGGACCCGCCTTAAAGACCCAAATACCGCCATTTAGCAGATGCGCTCTTCACTATTCCTGGAAGGGATGCTTTTTTGCACAGAAGCCCAGTCTAGAAGCCCTTTCAGTAACTTATAATACAATAATGTGTATAAATAAATAGACCTAAATACAAGGCTATATTTTAAACAAGAGAAAAGTCTAAAAGTTTTTTAAAATTATACTTTCTTTGCTTTATGTTTAGTCTTGTTCAATTTTACGTCCAGAATTTTTTCATTTTCATTTTGCAATCTACTTGCTATTCTTTCAAATTCTGGGCCAGCAGCAAATTTCCTGCGTATGTTCCCTAGTTTCCATCAGGGATCCTTGCCACAAAAGCAAGCTATGGGAATACGAAGATGAGGGTCTTGGACATTTCTCTCTTATCGGCAGCCCAGTCATTCATCCATTCGCCCAACAAATATATACTGAGCATCTACTACATGCCAGGCTCTGTTCTAGGCACAGGGGATAAAACAGTACACAGAACCAATAGGTGTCCAGCCCTCATGGAGTCTTCATCCAAGTTGGAGGGAAAGAAAATAAGTTAGGGGGTGGGTAATGTATGTAAGGAAGAGAGGGCCACAGTGTGGCATATGGCCACTTCTTTATTTCTATTTTGATACTGTTCTATTCATGATCTTTGTCCATTTATCTCCTAGGCACCATGTTTTTCTTATAAATTATTATGACTTATTTACATAACAAATGTATCAAATTATTTGCCTGTCATGTTGTTGCAGATTTTCTTTGTCCCTCCTGATAAATCCCCTTTCTCTGCAAAGTAACTCATTGATCGATTTTGTTTCACTGATTCTTCCTTTTCCCTTCCTTCTTCTGTCCTTAGTCCATGAGATATACATGTAGTTCATTCATTTAATAAGTGTCACTTCACACTGAACAGGGAGGCTGCACTGGGCGCTTAGATGCTGGGACTTCATGAAGAAGCAAGATTTCAAAAAAGGGAGTCACCAAGCTTTTACTTTGTCAAATAAGATATAGCGTATATATTTACTTAATACATATTGGGTTTTGCCAAATACTCATCACATTATCCATGTTTTCCTCCTTTCACCAGCCATGGGTCTGGGTTTTGACCTTAAGATATCATTGTACCAGAAAATACAAACCAGACTCAAACCCCAACAGATCTGAGCCTTATCGGGTCTAGGAATCGAGACAGGCAGGCCTTTCTCCCTCTCACTGAACTCTGTACTGTAGGTGCCAGATCCCATCCATTTCTCTCATTTGACTATTTATTTGTACTGTACTCTTTCCAAACCAGGGACCTCTCTTCGAGATTTGTCCTGTCCTCTCTGTCCGCCCGCTCCAAAGTCCCGAAACCCTCGTCTCTGTCAGCCCGGCTTCTCTCCACAGCTGAAGGAATGACAGCCATCGAGTGCACTTTGAGCCCTCTATAGACACATTTAAACCAAGTCATCGGACTCGTTTTCACGTATTTTTTTCAGTCTAGGAAAGCGTGGGTGGTAATTGTGTCTGACTACGCTGAATGCTCCCTCTTCAGCACTGAAGTATTTATTATAATAACTATTATAGCATACCGTTGCTGATCCTCAAAGCGCTTCTTAGAAAAGCCGGCCAGGCAGCCAGACAGGCTGATCCGCCCACCACCACCCGCACCGCACACCCTAGGAACTGGAGAACCACCCCCCTACTCCCCCGCCCCCGGCCCAACAATGGGGCAAGGTGTACGGAAGCCCCCCAGGCTCGCTTCATACTGCTCCCTTCACTCAGACACACAACTCCAGCAGGTCAGGGCAGGAAGCACAGGGCAAAGGCTGTTTCCAAGCTGTATCCTTAGGAGAATGGAAGGAAACCGAAAATATTTCCTCAGGTTGCATGTACTTGGGGCAAGGCCTTGGAATAATCGGCATTGATGGCTGCAGTTCATCCAGGCCCTGCTTTAAATTTTCCATAGGAAATGCTGCCAGCAGTGACGAGAAATTTCAACGATTTGGCATATGTCAGATTATTTGTGTTAATCAGATCCTTTTTCTATTGTTCTAAACTTCAAAAGCACGCTCTATTTACCCAGGTGACTTAATTGCCATCTTCATAAAATTTATGAAATCAGCATGGTTTTAGTGCTCTAACAGTAACAACAAAATTAAAAATTCAGCCCTGGCTGGTGTGGCTCAGTGGAGTGAGCACTGGCTTGCAACCAAAGGGTCCCCAGTTCGATTCCCAGACAGGGCACATGCCTGGGTTACAGGCCAGGTCCCCAGTAGGGCCACGCAAGAGGCAACCATACCTTGAAGTTTCTCTCCCTCTCTTTCTCCCTCTCTTCCCCTCTGTCTAAAAATATATAAATTTTTTAAAAAATTAAAAATTCAAACTTTTGTCAAAATCCTGCAGATTGGGCTCTGCTGACCTCTGCAACTTTAATCTGATTCCTCTGTCCCTCCTTTGCTCTCTAGGCTCCAACACACAGACCCCCACAGGAACCGGGGATACACCAAGCTCTTCCCTAACCCCAGGCCCTTACATTTGCTATTTCCTTTGCCTGCGGCTCTACCCGCTTCCACCCGCCTTAAACTCCGGCAGCAGCCACCGTGATCTTTTTAAGAGCATGAATCAGATTGCAGGGTCCCAGCTGATAACCTTTCAACAGCGTCTCCTTCCTCTGAGTGCCCACAGGACTTCACCGCTGCCCCTCCCTTGGCATTTGTCACTTTTCCTGCCATGTCATCACCATCTGTGCTCATGTCTTCCTTCCCCACAGTACATAACACAGGACTGGGGATAGTAACTGTCGGATCGACGGATGGGTACATGGATGGATGGATGGATGGATGGATGGATGGACAGACTAATGGATGGATGGAAGGGTAGATGAAAAAAATGAAAGGAAGGAAGAAGGAAGAAAGGAAGGCTGTCTGACTCTAAAAAATGCCAAATGAGACTCTGAACATACAGAACTCTCCCAGGGGTCCAGAGACCCAAGCCAATACACAGATCACATTGTGTGTATGCCATATATGGCACTCAGTGTAAAAGAGCTAATTTTTCAACCGCAAAATAAAAAATAAATCCACAGTGAAATGGGAACAGAAAGAATTCTAAGAGGAACATGGTACTGTGAGCGAGGAGTGTCTTGAGACTTGCAGAGTGTTTTTTGAGGTGGCTGCATACACCAGATGAAGTATTTCTGCTCCAGGACCGCCTGCCCATCTTGGGTCTGTGAGCTTGAAGCTGTGACAACCTGCTGCCTGCCAACTCGGCGGGCGGCGAGCCTAGGGTTGCGCAGGAGGAGGGGCGAGGCCAGGAGGCAGGCTTGAGACCATGAGATCAGTTTGCAGTGATCTGGCAGCCTTGACAGGTAGTGTACTTGGCTGGTGTGTGGGACTAGCTCATAAGCTAGGAATCTGAACATCATGTTTGAACTTGACAGTGTGTGCTGGCTGCTATTACGTAGAGCTTTGCTGTTTTCACTTCCATTTCGGCTGCTTAGTGCACTAATACTGATCTAGTTAAATAACAGCACAGGTATAAAATAAGTTACCTGTAATCCCTTGCGGATGAATCCAAGTATAAACAATTTAGAGATGACACTCAATTCTCTTCCTTTTTTAGAGGGACAGCATGTGGCCTGCTTTTCCTTTCTAGCATTTTGTGCCCCTCATTCTCTTTCTGGGACATTGAATCCTTTTACCTCTCTTTTTTTTTTTTTTGAAGATTTTCTTCCCTTCAGTAACATGATGCCATACTGTCAGGCTTTTTCTTGGCTTCTGACCTTGTCCCACACCCACACCCAAGTCTTGACAGGCTCCTCTCCTTACCCCAACTCTAAATGTTGGTGTTCCTCAAAGCTCAGCCATGGTGAAACCTCCATGCTCCTTACTCTAGAAATCTCTCCTCCAAGCCAAAGCCTTCAATAATCATGACAGGTGTTGACATGCCAAGATTCTTCCCTGGCCCAGACCTCATTCTCAACTTTAGACCCTCATGCTCTGCCAACCAGCTTACATTTCCAACGAGTTGTCTCAAGAGCTCATTACACAAAACATGTTTAAAAGCAAACTCGTGGTTGTCACCCAGTCAAGTCAGAAACCTGGAAGCTCTCCCTATAGGTTCTCTATCTTTCTCACCTGACCGTATTCTATCCAACGCCACATTTTATGGATCTGACACACTAAATAGCTCAAGTCCATCCAAGCCCACCTCCACCATGGCTGCCCTAGACCAAGCCCCAATCACCCCTGGCCTGCCATCGCTTCCTAACTGAATTCCCTGCAACTTCTCTTGCCTCCCTCTGCTCAGTAGTCATGAAATCTTTTCAAAATACAAATTTGACAACTACTTCTCTGCTTAAAACTCTCTGACGCCTTTCCTGTACGTTTAGGATAAAGACCAGAATTCCTTAACGTTGACCACAAAGATGTCTGTGTTCTAATCCTACACACTTTTCCAGCCTCACTTCCCATAGCACTGCCCCCAGAGACATCGTTCTCTCTCTGCCATTCATTGCACTTATACGTCACTGCATAGCTTTGCTCCCTCTGTGTCTTTGAATTCTTGTTTGTACAAGGAAACACATCACTGTGAGGAGAGGTGAGTTGGGACTAATAAGCTTAACCATGGTTTTCTGTTTTGTTTGTTCAGAGAAGTTACACTAAAAATTAAACATTATCTTATTGACTCTTGTGCCCCTTCTTGGAGTTAAAGAACTGGCCTCGTGTGAACTGACAACCCTTTTATACTCAAAGACAGTGACTATCACCTCCATGTAAATAGCCAGATTGAAAATGGTGAATAAAATTAAAGTTGAGAACAGTGTTCACTTTTTTAAAAAGTGACAGATGCTTATTTTCAGAACAAAAGTAATGACTGAAAGTGTCCTTAAACAGCAATCTATTCTAATGTATTTTTTACAAATATTCAAATTGCACATTACCTACGAAGTCTAAGGCAAGATACACACCTGACATCTATTGGTTTGGTATCAAAATCATTGGAAGTTATCATCCCATTTCCAAAAATCAAAGTCTCCATATTGGGGCAATCACTTCATAAGTTACATAAATATCTAATTGCTACAATGTATACCTGAAATGAATATACTATTCTATGTCAACTGTAAGGAAAAAATTAAAGTAAATTAAAAAATCAAAGCCTCTAAATCTGAGGTACTCAAGATGACAAGATGAGTATGTTTACTATATAATACTTACATGTTATGATGAAAACGCTCATAAGTATTTTCTAGTTTTAAAACCTCCTACGTGAAATTTTCCGTTCCCCCATTTAATATGGTTCTCAGCTTGAGTGAGTAGTACTTTAAAACAAAATCTGAACAGTTCATCATTGAATCCGATCTTGAATTTTATGGTGTAATGTGTGGCTGCTTCCAGTTTTATCTTTTCAGGGGATGTCACAACATGTCTTCTAATTAAAATAAGAAAACTAAACTGGCACCTCGCTTGCTGAGAACTCAGTTAAAAGATTCTCTCCCACATTTTTCACAGCTGCCTTCTCAGCCAGTGCAGCCAGAACCATATCCTGCCTGGTTCTTTTGTTCCTCAAGACATGCCGATGCCCAAGCAGGGTGAGCAAGGCTACAACGGGGAGGCCTCCGAGCAGAGGGACAGCGGAGGTCAGCGGTCTCCTCGCAGGGGCCATTCGCAATGATAAAATATGGGCAAATCTTTCCAACTCCAAGGCGTCCAAAGTTATCAAGAGTCTGAGAAACTCAGATCACCGCCTTTTTCTTTTGAAACATTATGGCTGGAAAGGAACCACCTATTTTCACTGAGTTCATAGCACATGTTATCACACCTTGGACTTGGAGGAGGCCCCTGTGGGCTTCGAGAACTCAGTGTAGGGAAGATGACACCAGGAAGCCACAGCTGGAGAGTCTTCCCCTCACGCCCCAGCAGGGTCCAGGCAGCCAGTGGGGAAAGGGCAAGAAAGTCCCAGTGAACAGTGAGGTTGGGGACATTGATTCTTGCCCAAATAGCAAAAGAGATGAGGGCAAAGGAGCAAGTTGAGGGCTCAGTCTGAGTGAGTTCAAAGGTGGAAGGGATGAGAAGAATAGGACTCAAGAGACGCAGCAGAGCCTCCCCTTCACTCACACCTGGCACCTTCAAGAGCTCCCCCCCAGGACAGCTGGTGTCAGCTGTAGCATGGAGACTCCATCTATGTCCTTGGTAAGGATTCTATATGAAAGTATTCATCCTTCACATGTAACCCCGCACGCGTCTGGCCACAGAAAGAGCAATTTCTAAAACTATACTTTCAGGGACCATTTCTATCGTTGACTACTAGAGAAGTTTCTCTGAACATGTAAAGCACCCAAAACCACGAGACGGAGGCATAGGGTTCTCTCCTGAGTGTGAAGCCAGCTTTTTGGTGGTGTCTCCATAACTGCCAGTAGCAATTGATGATCGTTCTTGTCTTCCTTTGGAAGAGTAAGAGGGAGAGGGCACAGTCTGAGTGGCTTTAGAAAATAAATAAATAAAAGAGCAATGTCTATATCTCTCTGAGTTCATCTCTAAAAAAAAGCATTTCACTAAAGAAAGTACATTTGACTGTTTTTCAAACAGCACAGTGTCAGTGGAGTGGTTTCTATCTGGCCGGGCACATGGGACAAAGCAGCTGAAAGAAGGGAAGTTAGAGAGTACAGGACAGGTAGAGGTGACACCAAAGTGAAGACCAAAAGGACAAAAATCATGTGTGAGTCATCTGAAAAAAGAAAGTTCAAAAGGAAGTTCTGATATTTACTGAAATTCTGAATTGTACTGAAATTTTTGGAGTACACGTTTACATATGGTATTTCAACCATAGACATGTGTGTTTTGTTGGTGCCTTAAAAAAAGTTACCAACTAATCCTCCCTTTTTAAACCTTTAGTTGCTTTTTTGAACAGCACATTTTTGCACATGGAGATTAGCCATGGATTTTTTGCTATCACCACATCCCTTCACAAAGATACGTACACTTAGGTATGTGCGTGTTTACTATACACCATTAGAGTTTCCAGTTTTGACAAAAGAGCAATGGTAATTCGTATAACACTTACTATGTTTATGTTGGGAAAATATGTATGGAGTATATGTATAACATCTTCCTTAAAGATTCTTTTCTGGAGAAAAATTCATTTGAAAACAATAAATTAAAATTTTACTGCTTAAAGTCAGAAGATGATTTAATTGGCCTTTTAGGAGCCCAGCCATTTTTATATGTCCACAACTCCAAGTAACAAATATTCCAAGAAGGGTTTGGGCCATGATGCCTTCACCAGAGAGTGGAAGCCATGTCTCCTGTATCTCAGAGGAACAAATGTGCTACAGCTACACTGTCCCTTCCCTCGGTCCCCACAGAGCTCAGCATGGGAAGGTCCCCTCCCAATCCCCCCCGATGAGGCCAGAGCAGAACGTAGGGTCACTGGTGGACCCATTTGCAAAGTACGCCAATCTGTCTGAGGTGAGAAATAATCTTTACACATTAGGAATCTCCTGCTACTAACAGCAAAATGGGCAGTGGTTTGAAACAGCAGTAAAAATGTGTAGAAGTTACATGTTCAATGTTCTCGCCATACACAGACATGCCTCTGAAAGACTCCAAAACTTATACCAATGGTTTCCGACAGGCAGAGAAAAATGTTGGACACAAACATGCATCTATAGATTCAAAATGTAAAGAGTCATTGAAGAACAATGACTGATAAAACTGAAAGACTTACTGCTGTCTCTTAAGCAATCTTTTAAAACAAAAAACAAAAAACTGAGCCACTTGTTCAATAATGGAGTTGTACCAAAAAGGAAGAGAGAGAAAAAAACCTTGATTATTTGAAATCCATCCTTTTGTCAATGCCCCACAAACTAGAGCTTGTGTTGTTTTTAACCTGTTGTTTTCACATTTTTGAAGGAATGGCAACCATACTGACTCACAGACACAGACTTCAGACGTCCCACCTAGAAACTTCAGGGATGTTCTTAATAATATTGATAGATCAAGATTCCATCAAGTCTGAAATTAATTTAAATGAAAATTCATAAGGATGAGAAGTAAGCCAAGGAGATATCTTGTGAGAGAACACTAGCAACTAAAATCCAGTCCTGGGACCAAACGCGTGGCTCTTGTTGGGGCAATTTGTTCTCTGGGCCTAGACCTTCCCATCTGCACGTGAGGGTCACACATGCTTGATTCCAGCGCTGCTACAACCAGCTGTGAGAATTTGGACACTTACTTTACCGCCCTGGGTGTCATTTTCCTTGTCTATAAAATGAGAGGCTCTGGTAGAGAACCTCCATGACCCATTCTCACTTAGTTCCAAGATGCTGTAATAAGAGAAGAAAGCGGTGAAACACGCAAACCTTTTGGCAAGAAGGGCGCACATAAGTGCAGCAGAAGACCTGGATAATTTTTCCTAAGCTTAAGTGAGTGTGGGAAATGGCTTGGTTGCAATTTAATTTTTTTTAGAATGTGAAGTTCGCAGTCACACAAGAAATAAAAATAAAATCTGGGAGAGAAAGAGTTGGAATTCTGGAAATGGTCTAGAAGCCTGAGGAAGTCCAGGGCACGTAACGTACACTTTTGTTCCATTGAACTCCACCTCCCTTCCGATACAGCAGAAGGGGAAGGCTCAAGCCGTTCACACTGATCAGTGTTGGAGGAAGAACCATTCTTTTCTTCTTTCATAATTGTGACATAAGAAGCCTAGTTGGTTGGTGAGGCACATATGCAGACATACAGTCACCCACAGACACAGAAAAGACTCAGCTTTCGGCTTTGGGTATGATGCAAATATTACGTCATGTACCTGGGGGTTATATTAGAACACGGCCCAGTAATGATTAAGTAATCTACAAGATCTAATTTGTGACTAAATTAGAGTATTCCAGAATCTATGGGGCTTCTATTTCTACACTGGTAATAGATGATTCAAGTCTTGTCTTTGCAAATTTCTCTGGTCCGGGGGTGGACACACATCAGTATAGTTGAACCACTAAGAACTGAAATGGGACAAATATTCCCAGATTGACACCTTAATTTCACACTCCTGAATTTCCCATAGACACTGGTCACAAATCAGCAGTCTTTCTCAGCTTCTTGGACCAGTGGCACTAAACCAGTGGCTGGCTACCCCCAATTCAGGACACCCAGAAGTTAAGCCTACATAGAAATTTCCAACTTATGCTCCAACCCAATTCTATACTCCTGTTTATTGTGCACACTGGAATATAAGATAAAAGTTTTTATTTTTCAATATTTTATTCTCAGGCAGAAAAAGTTATATTTAAGTCTTTTCACAACCTCTCATATCATAGGGCACTTTCTCAAGGATTTTATTTTAAAACCTAAGTATTGTTTGGGGAAGATACATTAATTTGAAATGACCCCAATCAATGTTTTGGATAGCTATCCATGAGAAAGGGACCAATTCTCATAATTATCCTATTATCTCACAACTGTCAGTCCTGAGAGTTGTCGTAAATAAGCCTTTCGAGATGATTATGCTGCGAAAAGCACAATGTACGCTTAAGAATGATTTTTAAATATTTTGAAAATTGTGTTCTTTCTACAGACAGCATAAAGTAGACTCAAATAGGGCTGTGTCTCAAGCCAGCTAGTCTGAAGTGAAAAAGAAACCATATTAAAGTGGCTTTAGGAATGTTAAAGCTGAATGGAAAGAATTTGACTTTAATTATTTCATGAAATGCAAATGAACTAACCAGAAGTTAGCAGTTCATAAATTATGTGACTTTCAATATGTTTGTGTAACTAATTTACTAAATTAAAGAGACATGTGACCACTGCATCTATGTTGCTAAATATTTTCACAGTTAAGTTGGCCAAAATTATTATTATTATTATTATTATTATTATTATTATTATGTTGGCAGGAGGAGTGGAAAAGAGTAGGGAGATCTTAGCTTTTAAGAACTAGAAGACCATCTTCCATAGGGTCATCTTATATTTGGGCGTATCCTAGAACACAACAGGTTTGCTGAATCTGTATGGAATGAGGTCTGGTGGTTGACCACAGACCAGGAGAAGACATGCTATAAAACACAATCTTGACACTCCAATCTGCTCTGGGTCCCTTGCCAGGTTCTTTGTCATTGGTTTCATTGGGTAAAACTTAGGATTTGTTTCAGCTTAAACAGAAGGTTCCTCATCATCATTCTTGGGCTTATTTAAGAAGCCTTCAAAAATTTCATAACTTAAAACTGAGAAGGCAATATACTGACATTCAGTATTGGCAGGATAGTCATATAACAATAGTATTGAAGGCAAGTATTGAGTGCTTGCGAGGCACTGTGCAAAGTGCTTGACATGTAATGATCATGACAATTTATTATTATTCGCATCTTAGAGATGAGGAAACTGAGTAACAGGTGTGGTAGCTTGCCTAAATCCCACCACTGGTAAATGCCAGAGCTAGGATTTGAATCCCGGCAGTCTTACTCCAGAGCCTACACTCTTATGCATGATGCTTTACCACTTAAACAATTTAAATAACAGAATCTGTGAGAATACGAGCCTTTCTTCAGGTCCTCTCCTCTATCCATAGCACCCCTTTTCCAGCACCAGGCCATGGGTGAAACCACATTAGTGACCTATAATAATCTTGGAATCTGAGCTCACCATTCTAGAACAATTGCTTCAAAGCTTACCTGATGGCTGAATCCAGCAGTATATTTTAGCCCTCATCTTTGTAAAGTCATATTTTTATATCTGAATTCCATTTGTCACTCCTACATTGTTGAAACTCTTGTTAAACTCTTTGGCTAACAAAACACACCTTTTTCTCAATTCCCCTCTCTCCTCAATGCTTATCCCTGCTGACTCTCCTTCATTGTTCTTCCGTCCCCTTGGTAAGTGCTGAGGTTTCTTTCACTTCTGTGTCCCAGGTAGTCTCATCTATTGTCAAGGCTTTGCTTTCCACCTTTGGGCTCCCGACTTTATATTTCAAACTTTCCTTTTAAAGTTCAAAGTCATAGTTCCAGCTGTTAACGAGGACTGTTGGTCATCTCTACTCTCATCTCAAATTCAAGTCCCCAAGGGAACTCAGTCCCTCCCCTTCACTGCTCAGCTTTGCTCCCAAATCTCATACTTCTCTTACAGTCCTCATTTCCTTTAATGACATCACAGTCTAACCAATCACACGACCTGAAGCCTCGGACCCATACTGGACTCTCATTCCTCACAATTTTCCCTTACCGGTATTCCTGACGCACATGCTTGTCGGATCACCCAATTCTTTCAATTTTACCTTCTAAATGTCTCTGGTACGTGTCTCCTCTTTGTTATTTCCCCCACTGTGATGAAAGCCTTTATCCTCTCTCATTTGTAGTATTGCAATGACTGTTCATTGGCCTCCTCTAGATCAACGTCGTCCTCCAAGCCCTTGAGCGAGTGACCTCACCCACTCCCCGCTTATAACCCACGTGCACCTCTTTGTCTACAGGGCACTATCTAACTACACAGCCTGG